TTTAAAAAGTTTTTAATTTTTTGCATAAAAATTAAGGAAAAAATCCCCGTGCGGAAAACTGACTCGGGGCTTTAAACAAATTTTGTAAAAACATTACCAAAAATTTTATTTTAATTCTAAATCTAGCTTTTTTGGGTTTTTTAAAAGAAGTTTTTTAATTTTTTAAACTAAATGCAAAAAAGGGAAAATAAAATGACCCCTTTGGGCCCCAATTTTGACCCCCGGGGGCTTTTTTTTGAAAAAAGGTAAACCACTAGAAGATGTTCATCCAAATTCAAAAGCCTAGCTTTTTGGTTTTAAAAAAGATTTTTGTTAAGCCTAGCTTTGGTTTCTTTAAAAAAATATTAGCATTTTTTTTTGGTTGCCAGGCAAAGGTTGATAAAAATTAAATTCTATAAACATATTAAAGGTCCAAAAGGAAATTCCGAAATTTGATAAAATTGGTTTAGTGTTTAAGGAGATTTTTTTAAAGTAAAATTTTACGGAAAAAAGCCACAAAAAGGACAAAAAGCTCACCCTGTAAATTTTGTGACAGGAAGGCTAAAAATGTTAAGTGTCTTTTTTTCCTGGTGAAAAACTGGTGGCTCTTTAAATTTTATACATTTAAAATATCAAATTTTAAAGTTTCTCTATTATTGGGGAAAAAGAGGGATATTTTCCCTTAAAATTTTTTTTAATAAAAATCAGGGACTTTTTATAAAAACTTTCGAAAATAAACCTAAAAACTAAATACCAACATTGCAAAGGGGGGCAGTCCCGGTACCAATTTTTTTAAGTTTTAAAAACCCAAATTTTTTATTTTTAAGTTTTTCCGACATGAAGCAATCTACTTTATTTTCCCCTAAGCTCTGTTTTAACTGTTCAAATAATAACCCCCTTTTTTCCGAAATATTTGTTTAGAAAAATTAACCAAAAAATTTAAAATTTAAAAAATTTCCACATTTTTAAAAAAAAAAATTTTGGGGGGGGGGGGGGGAATTTTTCAGACAATTTCTTCCATTTTACGGTTAGGAAGACCGGGTGCCCTATTTTAATTTCGGGCACATAACCCAAATTTCAAAAGATTTTCAAAAAGAAAAAGTGAGTTTTAACTCAAGTGAAAGGATCAATAAAAAACAATATTAAAACCCCGGGGGTTTTTTCTTTTTGGGCCCAAATTTCAAAATTTTAAAAAATTCAAAAATTAGATTCTGGCTGTGGAAAGATAAATTTAATCGAATTTGGAGTGTACACGTTTACGTGAAACAATATTTTAAAGGGAATTTGCCCTAGTAAAAGGAAAAAAAAGGGAAAACCTAAATACATTTTAATGTAAAATTTTGCTTTTATTTGTCCAAAATTTTTTGTATAAAAATTTTAAATCCCTAATTTTTTTTTAAAAATTTGGGTTTTTTTGTACAAAAGTCAAACCGGGACAAAGTCACTGATTTAAAAAAAACGCCGTGTCATTTTAAAAAAGTCAAAAAAAAAAACTTTTAGAAAAAAAATTAAAAAAATTAAATACAAAACCTAATAATATTACCTCTTCAAATCCCATGTTTTGAAAGAAACTTTTTTCAATTTTTCCCATTTCAATTAGCAGATGACATTCCATTTAGCCTTTTTCTTCATGTTTCTTTGTCATTGCCAAAAAGCATCCTTAAAATCGTTCCCGTTCACATTCAAAAAATCTTTAGGCCAACTCTAAAAAAAAATATTTATTTTAGAAAACTATATTTCCATTATTTTTTAGTTTAAAAATCAAAATTTTAAACAGAATTTCAAAAATTAGCATAGCAGAGCCCGATACAAAATTTTCCTCGGAACCAATTTTCACGAAAAAAGCCTACCACTACTGTATTTTTCAGGAATAAAACAATTTTTGAAAAATGAATGTTTTGGAAATTTTTTGGAAATAAAAAAATTCATTAATAGTCCGACCAGCCATCGATCAAAACCAATTCTTACACTTTTTAAAAAAAATTTTTAAAAATGTCCAAGTTAAAGTTTTTTATAGTATCTAGAAATTTTTTATGTTAATCCGGCTTTTAAAAATAAAAACCGACGGGAATTTCAATTTTCTTAAACAGGGAAAAAAACAATTCGAAATTATTCCTTTTAATTCACTTTTTTACTCATTTAATAAAGTTTTATGAATCCAAAAAAATAGAATCACTAATGGGGGTAACGAAAATTACGATTTTGTACTTCATAAAAAATTAAAACGCACAAAATTTTTTAAGAGATACAGCGTTTCTTTGGATAAAAAAAATTTGGGACCAAAAAGAAATTAAATATAATAACGAAATTTTAAAATTTTTTAATCTACTATACTGCCCTGAAATTTAAGAAAAAACTATTTAAACCCCTTTCTCGGAAGCAAAACAAGAAAATAAAGTTCTGGTTTGATTATTCGTACAACTCGAACAAAATTCAGGACTTTTATGATATCAGCTCACCCCTAAAAATTTGTTTTTTCAAGCATTAAAAAAATAAAAAATTTTATAGCACAAAGCAAAATCAAGAAATTAGACATTACCTTGAATTTTAAATTTGGGTCAAGTTAATTAATTAGTCGGTCTTTTGAAGGGTTTGGCCTTTAAAAAAAAAAACCCCCAAATCTAAAAAAAGTAAAAAAGGGTTAAATTTTTTTGACGCAATGGAAAGCTCAGACAAACAAAAAATTTTCCCCAATAAAAAACTGAAAATTTAGCCTATACACTTTGAGACTATTTTCAGCTTTTTTCAATAATAAATAAATAAAGAAAAATGGAAAATTTAAATTTTCAACTTTTTTACAAAAAAGAACATTGTTTTCCAATAATTCAAAAAGATGTCGTCTTTTATATTATAACAAGATATCAAAAAGTTTATAGATATATAAAAAGAATTGCCCGGGGATTTTTAATGTAATCATAGAGCTTTTAGAAAAAAGAGGTAAGAAAACCCCACGAAATTTTCAAGTAGCCAAAGTTAAATAAATTATAAAAAATTTTCATTTTAAAACTGCAAAAATTGCCCCCAACTTTTTGTTTTACAAATTAAAACTATATTTCCATAGAAAAAAAAAAATTTTCAGCCTCTTTTTTTTGCGCTTCCACAGATTTGAATTATTCAAGCCCAGATTTAAAAAATATAAATTGAACAGGACCGAAAAATTTCCAACATTAATAAATAAACTTTTTTTATGTAATAGAAGTCTATAACAAAATATGAAAAGCAAACCACAAAAATCAACATTAAATTGAATCGGGTCACTGGGCCTAAAAACTTGGCCCTCAGCCCTTTCACCCTTTTCCAACCAGCAGGGGTCCTGGGGCCCAAAATTTAATTTTACTGTAATGATTATTTTCTTATTTTGATATTTTTCATCATAACTTTCAGGTTTAAAAATTTCACACATGTAACAACATTATCGAATTAAAAATTTATTGATAAAGCCCCCTTTTGGAGTAAATTTTTAAAGAAAAAAAGAATTCAATTTAAACGCATATTTGTTTCCCCGTTTTTTTGTAAAAATACATTAAAAAAGCATTTGTAAATTTTAAAAAAAAAATTTTTTAATACAAAAAAATTTTGCAAAAAAAAATCAATCAAAAAACCATTATGACAATTTTAACATATATTGTCTTGCTTTAAATTTCTCTTCAGATAATTTTTATTTTAAAGATAATTCAAAAAAATATTTATAACTAAACAATCAAACTAACCCTAAATATGGTTTAAAAGGGGGCGATTTACTAAGCCCCTTGTCCCGAGTGGGGGGGGCCCGATTCCCTGAAAATTTCAAAAATTTAAAACCCCTGCCAAATTTCGTTTTCTAAAAAAATTAACACTAAAACAAAAACGATTTGAACAAGAAAATAAAAATTTCCACAAACCTTGCGATGTTTTTCAAGAAATCTAGTCTTAAATGAAAAACAACTTTTTTTCGTCGATGGCCAAACGGTGCCCTATTTTTAGCTAAACCAATTTTCCCAAATTTGTACCTTTAAATTTCCAAATATTTTAAAGATTTGTAGAAAATTTTTTTATTACATAAAAATTTTTTTCCAAACGTTTGATTTATGAAAATTTTGCAACCATTTTTTTGCAAAATAGATGTTTTTTAAGGCCCCAATATGTCCATTTTTTTCCTCTTGAGTTTATCGCTAAAAAATTCGGGGTGGAAAAAACTTTTCAAAAAATTGCAAAATTTACAAAAAAAACTTTTTTTCCCTTCGTTACTTATTTAATTTTCAGCATATTGCTACAAAATTACACCTTATTTATATTCAATTTATTGTACATAGGTACATGGACACAAATTTTTCTTTGGCCTAATGCGTAATAATACTGATGTTTTTTTTTCGTACACGTTTAAGATTATGTTCCATTGATGTAAGCTATCATTGAATATCATCATTTCAAGTTTTTTTTAACATCATCTTTTTCTTCAAGTCATCCACGTTTGAAAGTATACATATAGTTCTGCTGCACTACTTTCTTGGTCGCATTTACTACTTGTTTTCTATTGAGCTTAAACAGAAGTCAATTAGGTGTTGTTCGTTCTTTTTAATATGGGCAGACCGTTAATATAGAAAGGAAATTTTTTTTTGAAAAAATTTCCTTCCAAAAAAGGGGCATTATTCTGTCAATATTGTAGACAGAGTTATCCAGCTTCTCAATCTGATGTACCTTGTTACTATAAATAAGTACTGTAAGTTTCAATTGAATATCTCAAGCAATAATTGAGATATTTGACTTACAAAAAACTTTAACCAAAATTTCTAAGTTAAAAAGGGGCATAATTATGTCAATATTGTAGGCAGAGTTATCCAACTTGTCAATCTGATGTACCTTGTTACTATAAATAAGTATTGTAAGTTTCAATTGAATATCTCAAGCAATAATTGAGATATTTGACTTTACAAAAAACTTTAACCAACGCAGACGCGGACGCGGACACTGACGCTTTCATTTCAGCTTTTATCAAAATGATGAATAAAATTAACGGAAAGGACACTTAACAAAACCATTACCTAGTGCACCACCAATTGTTGCTGCTCCCCATTTCAAAGGTCCTCTTGTATTTGTTGCCCCACCTGCTCCGCCACTGTAATTTTCTTTACCATTTAGCTGGAATAGTCCAACATTGACCACAGGTAAAATGCGCGACTTGCTAAATGACAACTGCGGATAAGCATTCCTACAAATGGAAACACTTCTTGAAAGCATCATGTTTCCTTGCAAACAAAATCGCCCTCCGAAAAATACTATTTAGCAAGGCCTTTAAATCTGTGTCAAATATTTTTTGTTGTCACGCTCAAGCGTAACTGCGCATGTCTGAAGAATAGACACGGTCTTAATTTTTTGATAAAATGTATTAAAAACGTATTTTTGTTTCTTAATAATTGATTTGTATGAATGACATAATAAATTTCAGAACTAAAAATATATTTTAAAAAAGTGAAGTTTGAGCCGAAAATACTATCGTATGAAAATAGCTTGAATACGATCGGGTCTACGAAAATAAGATTTAGTTTTGATAAAATTTATTGAAAACGTATTTTTGCTGTTATTAAATGATTTGTTTGAATGAAATAATAAAGAATAAAATGTTTTGTAATGAAATATTAGACGTTTGTGCGGCAAATATGGTAAATATACCAAATTTAGTATAGTAAGAACGCATGAGCATCTCAAGATGGCATCTAAGAAAATATATATAAGATTTACATGGTTCATAACTTATACTAAAATAGTATTAACTTTACTTTTAATGATTTTGCAAATAAGTTTTAAGAATGAAAAATTCTCTTATGAGACAAGAAATGTTTGTAGTGAAAAGTATCAAATACTATTTGGGAAATTACCATATATGCCGCACATACGTCTAATATTTCATTACAAAATACTTCATTCTTTATTATTTCATTCATACAAATCATTTAATAACAACAAAAATACGTTTTCAATACATTTTATCAAAAATAAATCTTTTTTTCGTAGACCCGATCTTATTTTCGCTTTAAGCTATTTTCGTACGATAGTATTTTCGGCTCAAACTTCACTTTTTTAAATATTTTTTTGGTTCTGAAATTTTTATTTGCTGTAAAATCATTCAATGAATGCATAAATATATATTTTACATAATCATTTCAACAGATAAATGCACTATTTAAAAAATAAATCTTATTTTCGTAGCCGCGATCTTATTTTCGCGAAAATAGCTTATTTTCGGTATCCATCTATACCGCGGACGACTTCATATTTCAAAACAGAAACATGGACTCGGCCACCTTAAGTTTTTCTGGTAATCTAGACAGTAAACTCGTGCTGTTTACAAGTGTCATTTATGCCGCGATGATTTTAATCATTAACTTATCAAAATCTATCCCTTTCATTTTATTAAGGATCTACTAAAATAAGTAAAGTTCTCCACAAACACTTAGCCTAGTGTGTGCAAAGACATGATGTTACCTACATTTCTGGTGTGTGCAGCTCCAAACTAGTTAAAAACTCTAAATAAATTGTATATTTGTCAATCGGAGCACATAAACTTATCATGGATCTTTATAAAATTCATAATGATCGACCTTACAGAAACAGTATATATACAATGTACACAACATATACACTTTTCACATGCAAATGAGACTGCAGCTTACCCTTCTGGTGAAAATACTGTGTATCCTTGCGGTGTATGCGCTGCAAATAGGTTTTGCAGGGTAGATCTATATGAAATGTATGTAGTGAAAACTGCCACCAGCAGTCCTGGCTTATTACCTCACCCCAAAATTATACAAGAGAGGTAAAAGATTAACATAAAATGCAGTACTCCTACCTGCTTTAATTCCCTATCCTAGTTGCCATCCTATGCTGGTTAATAACCATAAATTTGAAATTATTCAAAACGTGAAAGTTAAATTTCAAAATGATTTTCAATAATTTCACAACTTGTTCACAACTGAATTTCTTAGAAAAATCCATTTACTAAACGTAATCATTATTTCCTACTCACATTTAATTAATCCATATTCGTAAGATAACTTGTCATCCATTTCATTTTAATAAAATACAGTAATATTCAGCCTCATTGTGAATAGAAAACATATATGTCATTTTTTATTCCAGCAGTTGCTACTGGTAACAAAAAAGGCAGGAAATCCTGTTGTGTATGCAAGGTGAAAGGTTTCTTTTCAAAGGTATTAGGTTATTGTGATGTACATCAAGTGTACTTTCATAACTAGCCATCATTGTGTGGTGTATTTGAAGTGTACTTGTATCCTCCTGCATACATAATGTGTACTTTCTGAAATAGTACAGAGCAGATACACCGAATGCTGTGTATTAAAGACATACTTTTCTTGTGAACTATCTAGCTTACAAAATGTACACAGCAAGTACACATAATATATACTGAAGATGTATGTTTTGTTAGGGAAATTATCTTCCATTTACACCCCTTTTTTGAAGAACAGTTCAGTATGTTAACTCATTGAAAAATAGCACAGTATCTTAAATTATATCCAATTATTTAACCTAATTGTAATGAATGTAAATGAAATACTGAAAAATAATTTAAAATAAATAAGGTATAAAGGTGCTTTATTTTGAATTCCTGAAAGTGACTCAAAATACTCACTTGAAGGGGCAGATAACTCTTTAACAGAAGGATGGTGACCCAATTTTTTATCCATAAATTTGTTTCTTTAAAATCATGCAAAATTTAAGAAAAGTCTCTGCATTTGTTAAAATTTCCTTTCTTTGCTTTGTAAGAAATTGCACTTCCAAGAAAAGCCTTTACCAGTAATAACTGAATTGCTGAAGTCACCTTTTTGAAAAATGGTGATACACTGTTTTTGGCCATTGAATTTATGGTGTCAGTTCTGTGTTATTTATAGAAAGTGAAAAATATAATCCTACAAAACAAGATAACATAACTTATTCTCTTAATTCATCTTAATTCACGAAAGGGAAATACTTCATTATAATTAAGACAAGAGCTATATCAGTGATTACATGTGTTGCCTGATGATAACCAATTGCATGTTTGCAGCTACTATGTAGTACTATGTACTACAATGCTTTTTTCATTAAAGGGACAAGCTAAAAATCATTCAACTGGAAAACCCTTTTAATATGCGCAAGTACCTGAGGTACTGAATCCTGTAAAGTGTTTCATTCAAATTGCATATTATTTTTTTTTAAAGTAGTATAAGAGAAGTAGTCTGGACAAAACTAAACCATTAAAGGGCTATTACTGTGAAATCCACTCAAGTCATAATAAAAGTTCAAGGTCATGATACTCCTGTTATATTACTGTGTTATACAAGTTCTCTTTTTTTTTTACTGATAAAAAGATAAAAAGTGTTCCAAGCAGACAGAGGTTTATAGAAGGGACTATAACTGTTCTGTTTTGTTTTGTTTTTTTGTTTGTTTGTTTCATTTTACGCCTTTTTCCAACAGTATTTCAGTCATATAGGCGGGTAGTTTCCTAACCATCGTTCCTGGAGAATTACACCAGTACTAGACTACCTTCCTCCGCGCTAAACTACCAAAGCATCTCCAGGGGATCAAACCCACGCCAGAGAGGTAACTGGATAAGAAGTCATCAACTCTAACCCCTTGACCACAGTCTTGTACAAGTTTGAAGAAGCATGCGAGAGGTCTTTTTGCTGCTGTGGAAGATTTGTTTAATTCGAAAATATTTGGGGATATTTTTGCATAAAAGACACAATGAATGGTTATAAATTACAATTATTTAAAAAAAAATAGAATTTATTATATATATTGAATATAGTATCATAATGAAAGTGTTTGTTTTACACTTCATTTTTTAAATGTTTTGAATGATTATAAATTATGCTGGAGAAATGGACTTTTTTCTTAGCGCATTACAGTAGAGATACTTTTTCTAAAAGAGAACAATTTGTGTTATGTCATCAAACTAAATTTAACATAAATGATATACACATGTATTTATATTGAAAGTAGTATCAAAAATTTTCTAATAAAATTCAATAAACACCTTTTCGGTTTATGTTTTGGTAAGTATATGGAAACATTTCCTCTACATTTTCAAAAACTAGCATAAAGTTTGTTAATCAAACAATTTTAAGTCCCAGATTAACATAAAACAAGAGGGCCATGATGGCCCTGAGGTCGCTCACCTGTATATAGCCCCCCCCCCCCCCCCCCCCCGGGCCAATTTTTACCCAAGGGCTTTTATTTGTTTATTTGAACAGACTTGGTAGACACACATAAGAAGATGTTTCATGCTAAACATCTAAGTTCTAGCTCATTGGGTTTTTTAAAAGAAGATTTTTAAAGTTTTTACTATACACATATAGTTAAAAACAATGACACCCCTGGGGCAGGGCCAGTTTTGACCCCCTGGCTTTTATTTGAACAAACTTTGTAGATATTTACTTAAAGATCTAAACTCTAGCTATTTGGGTTTTTTCAAAGAAGATTTTTAAGTTTTTGCTATACACATATAAGGAAAATCAATGACCCCCCCCGGGCGGGGCCAGTTTTGACCCCAGGGCTTTTATTTGACCATACTTGGTAGACACCCATTAGAACATGTTTCATGCTAAATATCTAACCTCAAGCTCTTTGGGTTCTTTAAAAGAAGATTTTTTAAGTTTTTACAATATACATATAGGGAAAATCTATGACCCCCTGGGGCGGGGCCAATTTTGACCCCAGGGCTTTTATTTGAACAAACTTGGTAGACATTCACTAGAAGATGTTTCATGCCAAATATCTAAGCTCTAGCTCTTATGGTTCTTTAAAAGAAGAATTTTTAAGTTTTTACTATATGCATATAGGGAAAATCAATGACCCCCCGGGGTGGGGCCAATTTTGACCACAGGGCTTTAATTTGAACAAACTTGGTAGACACTCACTAGAAGATGTTTCATGCCAAATATCTTAGCTCTAGCTCTTTGGGTTCTTTAAAAGAAGATTTTTTAAGTTTTTACTATATGCATATAGGGAAAATCAATGACCCCCTGGGGCGGGGCCAATTTTGACCCCAGGGCTTTTATTTGAACAAACTTGGTAGACATTCACTAGAAAATGTTTCATGCTTAATATCTAAGCTCTAGCTCTTACGGTTCTTTAAAAGAAGATTTTTTAAGTTTTTACTATATGCATATAGGGAAAATCAATGACCCCCCCCCCCGGGCGGGGCCAGTTTTGACCCCAGGGCTTTTATTTGAACAAACTTGGTAGACACTCACTAGAAGATGTTTCATGCCAAATATCTTAGCTCTAGCTCTTTGGGTTCTTTAAAAGAAGATTTTTTAAGTTTTTACTATATGCATATAGGGAAAATCAATGACCCCCTGGGGCGGGGCCAATTTTGACCCCAGGGCTTTTATTTGAACAAACTTAGTAGACACTCACTACAAGATGTTTCATGCCAAATATCTAAGCTCTAGCTCTTAGGGTTGTTTAAAAGAAGATATTTAAAGATTTTTCTTTCGGTTGCCATGGCAACCAGAGTTCTGCATGGAATTAAATTCTTTGAACAATTTTTAAAGGTGACCACCAAAGGAACATTCCTGTGAAGTTTGGATGAAATTGGCTCAGTGGTTTATGAGGAGATGTCATTTAAAGCAAAAGTTTACGGACGGACGACGGACGGACGGAAGCCGGACGAAAAGCGATCACAAAAGCTCACCCTGTCACTTTGTGACAGGTGAGCTAAAAATGTTTATATCATTTGATTGGAATACACAGTATATAAAGCTGCATGCCCCCAACCACAATATTTGAGGAAAATCTTTTGTAAAATTTGTGCCATTTGCACCAAAAAAATCTCCGTTGCGTTATTTTTACCGGTTCAAAAGTTTAAGGAACAGCAAGATTTCGGTACATGGTTCAATCGGTCATATATGATAGTGCATGGTGATATTGTACCTGAAATGTTCACTGTTACTAAATATCGGAACATGAAATAGTAAAACATTATTCAGAAAACAATATGGTAATCGATTTATACAGTTTAAAAGATTAAAACAGAATGAAACACCCACGTAGCGCTAAATAACGTAAATGATATTTTCCGATTTTTCTATGTACTGGTTTGTTTACTTCGATGTTAATTTTTCGTTTAAGTTAAGTCGTATTTTGAAATGGAGCATGCGCAAAACAATTTTAGTAGACTGCTGCTAATGATTTTACGCTTTAAATGGGATTCGTTCACTACAATCAGATACGCAAAAATGGACGCCGCCAGCAATCAGTCTGAACACTGTGGAGAGGTCTGATGACCTCTCCAATAAACTGGAAATGACCTATATACATGTATAGACAATCAAAACATTTTCCTTTTAGAAATTAACTTTTTATTCACTATTAGCCACATTATTAATAGTCAAAAACATGAATTTTATTTCAAATGACAACATTGAAAATATGTTCCTTTAATTTGCAAAAATAATGTGCACACAAAAAAAATTCAGGAAAACACTGCATACAGTTAACAAAACTTGTGTATCCCTCAAAATAGTAAATGCACAAGCCAAATTTAATCAGAATCATCAAATTAATTAACATAAAATTTGGAATAAGTCAAACAATATGTACATGATAAAGGATAAAACTAAATAACAAAGTTTGTGTCAATTAAACAACCTTGTGCTCAGAATATACCATTAATGAATTTATTTATCAGTAAATTTGCAATGTTTTAAAATTTGAAACTGTCACTTATTATGTCATACAATTTTAAAGGGACTCTGCTGACGTTTTTTTGAGACGATAGGTCTGGACATATTTTTTTGTTGAGATTTTTGTATTTTTTTTGTTGAGATTTTTGTACTTTCTGATGAAGGTCTATACTAACAACATCTGTGCAAAATTTTAAATTATACGCTCACTCCATTGTTCCAGAAAAATCATTTTTTTGTGTGACAAATTACCTTACAAGGTGTTAATACACTGTTAACTCCTTTTTAACTATTTAATTTTGAGATGGCACAATCCAAAAGTAAAGAATTTGTTCAGATAATGAAAGCAGCCTGGCAATTATCTGACCTGTCAATATATCTTCTAAATAACTATGAGTTAAATTATGACATTAACTGTGTTGGTGCAACATAAAACCAAACCCTAAAAAAATATATAATTTTAATATAACTAAATTTTTGTATTTCAGAACAAATTGTAGACAGCAAGATCCCAGAACTGCATTTCTAGCCAAATGGGGCTTTCAAAGAAAAGAAAGTCTTAATTCATATGTTTTGTCTGTTTAATACATTCATCTCCTTACCTCAAAGACAAAATATATACAGATCCTCCCTTACACAGGATAACTCAAAACAGCAACAACAAATTAGACCACTCCAAAAAGCAGTCTGAGATTCACATTGCAAACTAACAATTTCACAGAACATAAAAAAAAAAAAAAAAATACAGATCCCCCCTTTACGGGATAACTAAAAACAGCAACAACAAAAAATAACAACACCAAAAACATAGAGATTCACATGAAACTAACAATTTTACAAGAACTAAATTGATAAATAAAAATATGTTAATTAAGCAGTAACTTAATAATATTCTAAAAAAAACAAACCCAAACAACACAAAGTGTCTTAAAACATGCAAAATATCTACAAATTGATGGGAAGGTGTTAGAATAAATGAAATTATACCTTTAAAGGTTTGCAATAACGTTTAAACTCTGCATTCTGTGAAAATTTGGTTGAAATCACTTAAGAAATGTAGGTAGAGATCACAGAAGACATTGTTTTTTCCTCTGACATTCTAACAACCAAAGTTAAACAAAAACTTGCTTTTTTGTGATTTACCTCTTTCACAACCCCAACAAACATTATGACCATATCAAAACTAGTAAACAAAAATTTCCGACAAAATGCCTTAAAAATGATTCACAAGAGATTATGTAAGCAAAGATTGTCTCTTAAATACTTTGTTTTGAAATCAGCAATTTTTAATTAAATATAAAAATCGTCACCTAGCTTAGTGAAGTAATGGGTTAACTCTATTATATAATTTAACAATTACCCCATTACTGCAATTAGGTGACTATATGTAGTATTAGAGGTAGTACTGACTCATGATAGTCAATTCTTAGTGTTTTAATATGATTAAAGGTGGTATGTATTTGTAATAATACTTTCTCTGGTAGGAATCAAACACTTCCAAAATGGTTTGTTATCTAAAGTACACATGTTGCTGATTAAGTTAATGTTAATGTTAAAAACTGTTAATTTTTATTTCTTCACAAGTTTTTTCAATATCTTTTGCCTTTGTATGCTTTATAACAATCTGTTAATATTCTGTTGTTTATAGATTTATTGTAACTGTATATAATATGTACATGATTATAGAGGCTCATAGGGAAGACTGGGCTTGCCTAACTGTGTTGCCTCTTGAAATAAAGTTGTTATTATTATTTTGATCGAGATAAATCATGTATATACCTGTATGATCTAACAATTTTCAATAGTGTAAATAACCAAAACCAATGTGTACAAAATATCACAAATCTATATTCAAAGTCATTTTCAATTTTCTAAATAATAATCACAAAATTAAAGCTAGTTTCCAATTATATGATAAGCACTTGCAAAGTGGCATTGAGCCTCACTTAAGGTAACAAGACAGACCCTTACTTTGTAACAAGACCCACACTTGAGGTAACAGGACAAGATCTTCACTTGAGGTAACAAGACAATGCCCTCACTTGAGGTAACAAGACCCTTACTTGGTAACAAGATTCTTACTTGAGGATATTATTATTAAAACATGATAAATCACAATTATGCGTTTCCTTTAGATGATAAAAACGCCCAAAAATCTACTTAATTTGCCCTTGAAGAAACATCACAAACTGTCATATAATGATAAACTATTCATATCACATTTAAACAGAGCCATAGCACTTTTTATCAATAGCACAAATAATAAAAAATATTTTACAAATACATGTTCACAATCAATCAAAGAAAATTGATTATTGGTCCATTATCTTTCAGATAGCTGCAAAAACATTAAACAATTAACACATCACATAGCTGTCATTTTTTAAAAAAAAGTTTAATAATACAATAATTCAATAATACACTATGCAAAAAAATGAGCAAATTTTTCTAGAAAATCACAGTGATTGTTAAAGGAAGACAACTCTTCTTTCCCTTATTCACCGGATGATAGTTTTATCTAAAAATAGAATTACTTAATAGTCCTGTTATACACAAGTAGAACAAATTCAATCAATCTTCTACAAAACTTAAACATGCAAACAAGTATGACTATCATTTTCATTGATATTTGCAGGCCTTATTTTCAAGTTAAGTTAAATGCTCAATTTAGCTTCAAAATTTTTATTTTCTTTATTTTCATTTCAAAAGCAATTTTATTTTTTGATGTCTTGTAACAGTTTCCAAAAAGTTTACTTGTTGGCAATATGCTGTCAAGTCTTACTAATTTTCACTTAATTTTCCAGTTTTGTTGTTCTCCAGAAATTGAAAGATAGGCAAGTCAATTTAAGATATTGAGCATAAGACGAGTTAAAACAATATCCACACATACACAAACAGTCCAATGTTCTTTACACACAAAAGCTATGCATTGTAAAATATGTAACAAACAAGACAAAGGTTATATCTACATGTACTTGAAGCATGACCCTTAGTGACCATTAACTGTATACTTAAGCATGATATAATGTACATGTATGTTAGACCAATACCCAATGATGACTATCCCTACAGTCAATTCCCCAAAAAATAATAATGTAAAATATACCCATAGTTAAAATTGTGTTCGACTAGTAATTAAGTGACTGTTTATTATACTCCTATACTAATCTTATTTAGGTTTGAGCATAAACATTTTAAGCAGCCTTCAGCTTTTATTTTCTGTTGGAAAAATGATTTTGTGTTGTTTCAACCTAAGCAATTTAGTTATAATACCTAGGAAAAAGTGCACCATATCTCTGTTAAGCCTTCTCCAAAACAGCGTGTCAAGAGCTATCTTTTAAAAGCTTGCACTGACGTGCGTTTTTTTTAAAAAAAAGATTGGAAAACAAACTGTCTGCTTTACTTTTTAAATAAAGAGAGCAGACAAGTAAATAAGCGGTATCAAGGGGTGTCCTTCTTGTTCATGTATTTTATCTACAACAAATTTCATTTTACACGTATATTCCTTGATATGACAATTATATGAAACAATTTCTCTTAAAATAGGATATTTTACCTTTAGAAAAGCTGAAGGCCCCTTTAAAAACATTTGGAAGCAGACGTAAAATTGTCTTTCTTGTATTTAAACCCTTTGCATTTAAACCTTTTTTTAAAATAGGTGCAATAAATGAAGGTGTCAATAATGAAATCAAAGAAGAGCAACAACTTTAAACAAGAGTTTTATATAACAATCTGGCTCTAAGTTTCAAGTAATAATTCAATGAATACCCCAAAATTTCTATTGCAATAAAATATATTACAAATGAATTAAACAAAATTTTATCTGAATAAGTAAATTTTTCAATTAATCCAAATGTATAACTATTAACATTCATCAAACATGACATCATCAAACCAATCAAATCAATTCTTTTATAACATCTTTTCAATTTTGCTGAGTCACTGTTAGAATTAGGTTTATTTTGTAAGCTTGTCATTCATTGGCCCATCAATGGCTGGTTTTCAGTGATAAAGTTCAGGAGATCAATTCTCGTTGCTATCCCAAAAATCATCTGTCTCTGTGTAGTCTTGCTTTCTCCCTCATCTAAAAGGTCAAAATAAGAGGAACTTATTCCATTATATGGTTAGTTTTAATTATCATCAAATACACATAAATTACAGCTGGACAATTTCAGTTATTCTGTTAATTTATACAAATTTATTTGAGTTCAATTGTGTTGGGAGCTATAAGCTACTTGGAACACTCTCAAATCCATTCCTGGAACCAATCAGTACTTAACAATAGATGTAAAGTTTCTTGCTGAAGGAAACAACTGCTTGCCCCTGACAGGGTTTAAACCCACATGGCCAGCAATCTTTTAACTAGAACTGCCACAGTCATATGGCGTGAATACCCCCGCATACCACTTTGTCAGAATCAACCGTGGCCATTTAGAGCTCAAGGACAACGTCCCTGCCAAATCTGAGGTTACTAAGCCAGTGCTATGTATTCTACATGCTTCAAATGTGCAAATGTCAAAATCAATAAACTGCGGACAGGCATTCTTAAGCAACTGAGGGGAAAAGCTTTTCTTTAGTCGACCTTTGACCCAGTGACCCTCAAAATCAATAGGGGTCACCTTATAGTCATGATCAACCTCCATGCCAAATATGAAGACTGTGGATCAAAGGAATATTAAGTTAATGGCAGGACAATCTTTTTGAAGTCAAAGTCCATGTGACCTTGATCTTTGACCCAGTGACCTTAAAATAAGTAGGGGTCACCTACTAATCATGACTAACCTCCATGCCAAATATGAAGACTGTGGGTCAAAGGAATCTTAAGTTATTGAGCGGACAAGCTTTTTTAGTCAAGGCCCCTGTGACCTTGACCTTTGACCCAGTGTAATAAAAATAAATAGGGGTCATCTACTTATCATGACTAACCTCCATGCCAAATATGAAGACTGTGGGTCAAAGGAATCTTAAGTTATTGAGCGGACAAGCTTTTTTAGTCAAGGCCCCTGTGACCTTGACCTTTGACCCAGTGTAATAAAAATAAATAGGGGTCATCTACTTATCATGACTAACCTCCATGCCAAATATGAAGACAGTGGGTCAAAGGTTTATTAAGTTATTGGGCCGACAAACTATTTGAAATCAAGGACCCTGTGACCTTGACCTTTGACCCAGTGACCTCAAAATCAAAAGGGATCATCTACTAATCATGACTAACCTCCATGCCAAATATGAAGACTGTGGATCAAAGGTTTCTTAATTTATTGGGCGGACAAGCTTTTTAAAGTCAAAGTCCCTGTGACCTTGACCTTTGACCCGGTGACCTCAAAATCAATAGGGGTCATCTACTAATCATGATCAACCTCCATGCCAAATATGAAGACTGTGGGTCAAAGGAATCTTACGTTATTGGACAGACAATCTTTTTGAAGTCAAGGCCCCTGTGACCTTTGACCTGGTGGCCTCAAAATCAATAGGTGTCATCTACTCGTCATGACTAACCTCCATGCTAAATATGAAGACTGTGGGTCAAAGGAATCTTAAGTTATTGGGCGGACAAGCTTTTTGAAGTCAAGGCCCCTGTGACCTTTGACCTGGTGATCTCAAAATCAATAGGTGTCATCTACTCGTCATGACTAACCTCCATGCCAAATATGAAGACTGTGGGTCAAAGGAATCTTAAGTTATTGGGCGGACAAGCTTTTTGAAGTCAAGGCCCCTGTGACCTTGACCTTTGACATGGTGACCTCAAAATCAATAGGTGTCATCTTCTCGTCATGACTAACCTCCATGCCAAATATGAAGACTGTGGGTCCAAGGAATCTGAAGTTATTGGGCGGACAAGCTTTTTGAAGTCAAGGCCCCTGTGACCTTGACCTTTGACCTTAAAATAAATAGGGGTCATCTACTTATCATGACTAACCTCCATGCCAAATATGAAGACTGTGGGTCAAAAGAATTTTAAGTAAGTGGGCGGACAAGCTTTTTGAAGTCAAGGCCCCTGTGACCTTGACCTTTGACCTCAAAATCAATAGGGGTCATCTACTCGTCATTACTAACCTCCACGCCAAATATGAAGACTGTGGGTCAAAGGAATCTTAAGTTATTGGGCGGACAAGAAAAAACCGACGGACGCCCGACGGCCGGACAGCCGGACGGACAAGCTGATTCCAGTATACCCCCCTTACAACTTTGTTGTGCGGGGGTATAATTACTAGTCTGTCATGTTAACCACTTGGCCATGCCGCCATTCTTACTGTTAATGCAAGTGTACTATGTGGCGTAGTAAATTTGTAATGTTACATAGGCAAAAGTACTTTTTTACATCTAGAAAATCTAAGCTAATACCTCGGGTAACAGTATTTTCCTCTGGAATGATAAACTATTGTTTACTGTTTACCACAAACCTATGTGTTATTTATAGTCTGCTATACCATTTTCAAGGCAGTTGACTTTTGGTCTTTGGTAAAATACATGTATTACCATTAAGGCAAAAACAATAAAACTACCTATAAACCTTACAAATGTTCCCAAATGTCACTAAAAAAGGCACCATTTTACCAAATATGCAACATATATAAAAATGCTTATGCAAGATTGAAGAAAGAAATGGCAAAAGTTGCTATTTTGTATTAAAAAAGTGTTCTAAAATTGTGTTTCTTTGTCGTTCTTAACAGCAGAATTTTAACAAATCAAAGCAATAATATCAGAAATGCAAATTGCAATTTCTAACAAAATGTTAAAATACATGTCATATCATTACTTACATTGTTTCTGCCCGTGAACAACAAGAACGTAGTGATCAGTGTCCAGCATACGTGATAACTGACCCAACGATGTGTTCATCTGTACCATTTTGAATTGTTTATACATAGCCTTGGAAACCGGATCTGACTTTTGAACTTTTCCTTTCACAACCTGGGCCATCATATTTCCTACTGTCACCATACCTTGGATAACGCTATATAACAAAAACATCACACCATTAAGAATTTCATAGTATGAGCTCTTACAACTTTAAACCTGCAACTTGACTATTTAAGCCACTAGATGGCGCTGGGGCAGATTTTCATGGTATTTTTGACATGCTTCACATCTAACAGCCCTTTTTTGAAATAGTAAAATAACCAAGAAGTATTTTGCCTAAAAACTTTTTGTATAACTTCTTTGCAACATTTGAAATAAAATGGCAGAGAAAATATCACAAAAGATTCATTTAAATGTACTTTGTGAAAAAAAAAAAATCAGTTAACTGTCAAAAATTTGAAAATCCCGGGGCGGAGTAAATGGGGTCATGAACTGCAGGTTGTAAACAAATACACGTGGCAGTGTTAACTTTCCAGTAGAAACTTGAAATATTACTCTAGGAAGGGAGCTGCTGATCAGTAATCGTCTGCTATAGTGTTTGTTTACATCAGCTAAATTTAGCACAGGTACAGCGTCCTTTGCATGATTTATCTGATAAACACGCCTACAAAATTCTCCCTACCAGGGCAGGGATTTTTGCGGCTTTAAATAATTCTGTAACATCATTCAAGATCTAAACTTCACAGAAAATTGACCTATTTATCATTAAAGGCCATGCTCATGCTATCATTGCATCAGAATCTTTTTGTGTTTAGAAACGTTACTTAGGAGTAACAATTTCTGATTAACTGGCATGAAAACTTTGCCATTCAGTCAGTACTTATAATAAAATACTTTACTTATTGAAAATGATGCATTGAAAGATTTGGACAAGCCCAAAATTGATATTTAGCATGTTACACGATAAAAATAATTTTAAACCAATGATTTTTCTACGTACCCATCTCTATCAACCACAGGGACTTGATCAAATCCTTCTTTGTTTAGAAGTTCTAGTGTTTCACTTATCGTAACATTTGGCGTCACTGTTAGAGGACTCTGCAGTTTCAATGCACTCACATTCAAATTCCACCACCTTTACGAGAAAAAAACAACAATACATTTAACATAACTTTTTTTTGGCAACACTTTGATGTAGAAAACAGTATCACATTGTCATATTTTATCACAAATTATTCACCTGTACTTCTCTATTGGCATCACCCTCTTGTATCTTAACATCACATAAGTTAAAAATTTATTCACAATATTTTTTTGTACTTTCAAAAACTAAACAGTGCAACTAAAAAAATTCAAACATTCCTGAGATAGATAGAACTTCCAAAGGTAAAGGTATCTCATGGTATTTCATGTAGGATGCATCACGCGACAATTTATTTTGAGAAAATTCCCTCAAGGTCATTCTTTAGGAAGAGGAAAAGACTATACTTGACAGGTGATCATTACTTACATGATAAAATTGTTAAAATCATACAATTTCTTAAGAAAAAAGACTCTTCTTGTAAAACATTTTATTTTTCCATAAGTATGATTACATTAAAAAATTCAACAACTCAACATCATTTTATATTAATCTAAAATATGTAGTCAGTGATATATGCTATAATAAAATAAAGGTCTTTTATGTCTATTAATTTTAAAGTCATTAAAAAGCAGTTTTACATTAAAGTGACATTATGCTCATCCAAGTGTGAATGGAGAGTGTTCAGGTAAAAGTAACAAGAGCTTTCAGTAGGACAGCATATTTGACTATTCTCAGTGCTTGATAGTAAAACAAGAGTCTGTATAATACAAAAATGTCTGGGTTCAGAAAAGTCCATAATTCTGTCAAAATCCATGTAAGAGTTATGGGCCTTGAACTGTGACCTTATATTATGCCTTCAAATAAGTGTGTAAAGTTTCAACCTATTCCTTTCAGTAGTTTTGAAGATACCAACTTGCAGGGAAAAACATTACCAAAGTGTGCTGCCTGTTGAACACTGACACCTGGGTGAACTTTCCCTCTTCTTTGTAAAGTTGAGCTACATTAAAAACTTTACATTTTGCCATAATTGATTTCAATTATATATTCTGCATCACAAAAAGAATCAGCAAGTCACATGACCCACGGACATTTCTATAAATATTCTTTGTAACTTATTGATAACATTCTCTTGATAAAAAGAGTTGGGCAATCTTTTTAAATTTAAGGCAGTTTTCATATTTCATCTGACACATTTCTTATTATCAATTATTAGTAAATCACCATCATACATGTAATATTCAATGTATTGAAATATAAATAATATGAGTCGCGTCACGACAAAACCAACATAGTGCGTTTGCGACCAGCCTGGATCCAGACCAGCCTGCGCATCCGCGCAGTCTGATTAGGATCCATACTGTTCGCTATCAGTTTCTCTACTTTTTATAGGGTTGTTAAGTGAACAGCATGGATCCTGATCAGACTGCATGGATGCGCAGGCTGGTCTGGATCCATGCTGGTCACAAACCCATTATGCTGGTTTTGTCATGGCATGGCTCAATTATTCAGTTTAACTTGACAGCAGAAAAAAACGAGCATAATGTCACTTAAGATTAAAATAATTTTTCTTAACCATTGCAGACGAAGATTGCATAATAGAATGTATAAATCTATAATTAGTGAATAATTCTGAAGCTAAGCGTCCTAAGAGTCTGATAAGCCATGCTTTACATAAACAATTACATGACAGCTAAGAACCCAGGAAGATTCCTGCTAAGTTCTACAAATGTTTATGGTATTATTTTATATTGCTTTTAGCCATGCATATGACTACATGTATATAAGTTTGTAGCTTAAAGGCCCATTATGCCCCAAAAATGCTGTTATTTTTATTTCTCTTAAAACACTTTTTTATTTTTGGTGTCATGTTATAGTTACCTGAACCATTCTTTTGGTTCTGTTGCCTTTTGGCAATTAGAACAGTTATAGACTTAGTATTTTGTATGGAAGTTAAAAAAACTATGTTGTTAACATTTTGCTACTTTTATGACTAACAATTTCACATGGAGCCCTTCTTTCCACTGGTGGTAAGCATTTAACATGCTCACACACCATTATTCAACAAATATCAAACACATGTTGGCCCTTTCTCAAGAAGGAAATTTATTCATTTCTAAGGCATAATGTGCCTTTAATTATCAAACCTGTCTACATAATAATTATACAAATTATAAATACTGGTAAGTGAGAATAAAATCGCAAGATTATGTACCCACTCAATTAAAATATACATAGAGTTATGAGAACTTTCCACCTCAATATGCTCAGACAAACTCAATACATAAAAGACAAGAAAACACAGTTGTGCTAGAATAAATTGTTAATGATTCCATGACATGTTATGTACTTTAACCCTTCACCTGCTGAATCTAAATGTGATAGCCTTAACCACCAGTCTAGAGACCGGCCAGCTTGCAGATCCCTGCAGTCTGACCAGGCTCTTCACTGTTGGTAGCTAATTTTTTTTTTTCAAATTTTTGGGAGACATAATCAATCACACAAATTCAGCAAGTTCAGGGTTAAAGATACAATATATGCTGTGAAGGGAGACAACCCAGTCTATTAAAAATCTAAGGGAGACAACTCATTCTATTTCAGAACTGTGACAGCCTAAATCATTCTGCAGAACTTAATTTTTCAAATTAGTTTATCTTCTTGGTTTTCACTGGTTTTCACCACCAATTTACATTTAAGCTATGTACATCTGGAGGTGAACACCAAAGGTAATGTATGTTTTATACATGCGCAAGTAGGCTGAAGGCTATTAAATAGATAAAATCTACATTGAATATGAAGTATACATTACTGACAACCAATGAGTTTATTTATCATAAGCTTGATATCAAATTTCTTTTCTCAGCCAAAACATACATAGCATACTGATGCCAGTTTCCACAACCACAAAATATTGCAACCAAAAAAATCAAAAATACATCTGACATCCAAATTATCGCAAATTTTTTTTAAAGATATAATATATATAAATATCAAAGAATAATTCCTCCCAAACCCACCCCTTACAATGACAAATAATCTTCTTAACAGTGAAAAGTAAATTCATATAAGCTAATCTCCTAAAGGAAGGGAAAAAAAATGAAATAAAAAAGGAAAATGAGCCAAACAACAGCAAACACCAACACGTCTAAGTGACTACATTAAATTTTAGTAAGAGAATAAACAAAAGACAGAAAACACAAGTTGTTTAGAAAACAGAAGACAATGTATTACCATGACTTTGACTGACTGTAAAATAGTAATGAAAAAAAAAGTAATAACATGAAATTTCTTTTCAAAATTTGAATACACAATGATATATTTAATTAGTAAATCAACAAAGTAATGAAATAAAATACCATATTGAATTTTTTGTTGTTGTATTAATTTTTCATATCACTGATCTTTACAACAGAATATAATTATGAGCATTCATTTTGCAGGGGCAAAAAAAATATCCCCTAACAAACCAGAACAGTTATGTGACACTATCAAAATTATTGGTCACTTATAATATATAAACATCCTAAGAGCCAAAATCCCTTGCAGTTATTCTTATTCATTTCAATATATACATGGACTTTGTGTGGTACCAGAATCTGCTAAACAATGACAAAAAACACAATACAGAGTTCTTCCATACCACAATATACTACAGTTATAAATATACATGTGCTTTAATTCTCTGTATCTGATAATTTCATGTGCACATTATCCAATTAAATGTCTAATTTTATTTATTTTGATCCTTATATTGAAATTCACATGGCTGTATTAAGAATTTAATATTGGCCAATTGCTGGTAGTTTTTATTGTTGTTGGGTTCTAAGTCACCACAACCATGTAAAGGTCATATGGTCATTCTTAAGATGTAATGGTAGAGGAAGACCTCTAGTGACCCATCTTCCATAATTTCAGGCAAAAACTGGCACCTGAGATGATCATTAACTTTCTGTAAGCTAACTGAGTAGCTTCCTCACATAAACCCACAGCCCAGGGCAGGATTCTAACATACAACCGTATGGGCTAAGTAATTTGAAGTTGACAACCATCACCACTTAGCCATGGAGGGCCCATAGGCAAGTATTACATTTCACAAATTTAGACAGTTTCTTTAAATTGCAGTTCAATTTACCTTACGTGATTATAAATCCAAGGCAAGTCCAAATAACTTATTATTATTCTTAACTTCAATACTGATCCATATTCCAAACTTAGTTTTCATATTAAGACAAAATTCAGTGCTATAAATAGCAGCAATCTATTAATAGTAACATAAAGGAACCTACCATGAATTCATGCTGGCATCACCGGTATCTAATTGGAGGAAGTTTCTTTGGCTCATCCAATCATCTGACAGAAACTTGGACCTGAAATTGTAATTGAAAATGAGAAGTTCTAAAATGTGTACCTCATACATGTGAACTTCTTTCGATGATCAAGTGGGAGATTTTTCTTCAAAAAGAGGGAGGCTTTAGAATTTGCAATAAATAAAGAAGAAAGTCCAGACATCAAAAAGAGGGAGAGTTCTTTAATTTGTGAAAATACCCCTTATTTCAAGAAATATCTTTGAAAATATGACTGCAGAAAGTGGGAGTATCCCGCTCAAATTGGGAGAGTTCACCTGATTGTAAGGTAACTAATTAAATTTTCTTATTTCTTTTTTTCATCTAGAACATGTGTATTATACTTTAAGGTGAACTTGCCTCAACAATTACCGACAGTTCCAAATTCAACACAGTACTATTTCTAATTCATAAGTTAAGGATGTAAAATTCAGAAAATTATACTTCAGAGATAAACATAAATGGTGTTAAAGAATGTAATTATCACACAGCGTCAAAATTAAGGTTAATTAATCAATTAAAACGCTTACATGTAGTTCCTCACAGAATCTGCAAACAGCACCACACACCTCTGACCTTCTTTTAATCCAAAGTCTTTCATAGCTTGTAGGGCACAGTACATAGTAGCTCCACTACTTCCACCTACAAAAAATAGTTCATGTTACATGTATACATGAATATAGCTCATAGCTTGTAGGGCACTGAATAAACATCGTAGTTTTGCTATTATTACCTAGAACAAATATCCCTTGAAATACAGACATACAAGGCATGTAGTGCAAAGAAGTTACACAGGAGCTACTTCTATCTTAAATATGTCACACATTTAAGTCACACTTAAAGGTTAATATATCGTATGACAGCTTTACTGCTGTAGGAATACCCCAGAAGCACTTTTGTGCATTATGTCAGGCATGAGCTGGCATCTAAGTGGAACCATAGACCTTCCATAAGCTAGCTGGATAGCTATCTAACATTACAAACCCATGCATGATTTGTACCTACAGTGATGAGGATTATTGGTCCTAAAGTCAGTATCCTTAAACACTTGGCCATGGAGCCCCAAATAATAATACCATAATTATCCTTCATTAAAATGCTTGCAAAATGTCTACACCATTAGCATAAAGCTAGGCTCTATCAGGCATCTAAAAATATTTTCAGGGTCATGGGTCCTGCACGAGTAGCTTCTAAATCCACTGTGCAGGCAACATTTTCTACCCGTCCTGCATCATAATTTCAACCACTAAATTATAAAATATCTCACCACACAGTAGACCCTCTTCCCTTATAAGACGTCTACACATCTGGAATGACGGTTGGTCAGTTGACTTGTACCATTTATCAACAAACTGAAAATTAAATTATCATTTGTTTTTTTTAAATCGTAAATATCACAAAAAATAGTTACAGTTTGAAAGCAAATATCAAAATAATTTCACTTTCCTGAAGGTATGAGGTTGCTACAGGTTACATGAAGTTGTTTACTTTTAAAAGCTTTTCAACATACATGTACATGCAAATAGGTCTGTATTAATCAACACATTTCGATAGTCACTCAATTTTGAACAATTGTTTTTTGTTATTTACTTAGTTATCAATAATAACCTAGTACATGTAGTTACGATCTCTGCCTCTAAACCCAGTGGTCACTGGTTTATACCCTACCTAGGTCACAAGCTACCTCATATTACACACTGGCTAATTTGAGGATGTGAACACTCAAGATACAAACAGACATATGGTCAATAAAGCGCTGGCTCAAAATAAAAGTACATGTAATTTAGATTAGTGTAACTGTCCTATTCTCAGTGCCTGACAATAAGAAAAGGGGCATAAAATGGTAACCTTAGCCCATCATATCAGATAATCAAAGAGAACAAGTGTGTAAAGTTTCAACTTATTCTCTTGGGTAGTTCAGGAGATTCACACTTGCACACAAAAATACAACCAAAATGTGATGGCCATGCCAATGACAGTATTACATTGGCTCTTCCTAATCATGGAATAGTCGTGCTCAGAAGGATTTCAATTTAGTTATAATAGTTATATTTTAACACTCACTGTTCTATCTAGCACTGTTGGTATGAAATCATACCCAGTTCCCTCCACCTCATAACCTGTCACTGACGTCTTGTTTATCTCATTGGGCTCGGCAAGGATTGAACCCTCGGGATCAACACCAATAATCTAGTTTAACATACAGAACACATATCCTGAATATTTCTCCTTTTTTTTCTATTTTATACAATGATTTATATTGAGTTAATGTGTATACTACTAAGAAGTTAACACTCAAACTTTTATCTGTGAACAGTAACCGAAAAATCATGTTCATGTTTTTTTTATATAGTAAATCAATATATTTAAAGTTTCACTCCATACTTGTTATATAGTATAGTCATATAGGTACATTGCAAGTGATATAGGTAGGCACATGGTAAAAAAGATAAAGGTAAATGACAAAATCATATAGGTAAATGGCAAAATCATATAAGTAAGTTGCAAAACTTTTTGGTAAATGAATGATCACATAGATAAGTGAGGCCTGTAGAATGATATCTTCCTTTATAAACTCACTATAGACATAATATGATGATCTTTTGAATCTAAGACCTTAGCTTTAATTGTGAAAATTTCTGCTGATGAAAAACAGAAGAAAATGTCTACCTTACAATTGGGACATCTTTCCTTAAACTTGCGAGCAATACCGGTCAAAGTGCCACCAGTTCCTGCTCCCAAAACAACCATGTCTACTTTATCTGAAATACAATAAGTTAAAGACGATTGACATTTTTTCATAAGGGCCTACCTCTTTCAAAACTAGGAAGGGGATAATGGAAAATATGGGCATTTTGATAGGGATGTTGAATGCTTGGTGGGATGAGAAGTAGATATCACATTGACACTGATAAGGTCAAATGGCAACTTTCCAGTTTTCCTAGTGTTCTAATAACCCTCAATGCACTATTTCAGGCATAAACATATAACTGGATAGAACCACCTACCTTCCATAGGCTAGCTGGATAGTATCCTCATATGACAGAATCCTGGCAAAATTTAAACCAGTGCTCTGTATTCTACAAGGTTAGTGACCATAATCACTCAGCCAGAGGCACTTTATCATACATCTGCATGTATATAAAAACATTAAAGCATAGTAAGTAAGGAATGACTTTATTTAATGAGGCTAACATATTTGGTTTCTCAATCTTCCATGTGGGCCTCAAAGCACCACTTAAAATGAAATCATTCAAAATCTAACCTCCACAAGCCTGAAGAATCTCTTCGGCAGTGCCATCATAATGGGCCAGTGGATTACTGGCATTACGGTACTGGTCCAAAATGTGCGAGTTTGGCAATTCTTCCATAAGTCGCTTGGCAACACCAATGTGAGATTCTGGTGAATCAAATGCTGCACTAGTGGGCGTTCTCACAATCTCTGCACCTAGGGCTCTCAATACATCCACCTATATGAACAAATTATTTCATAAAATACATCTTTAATCAAGAGCACCATGGAAACTACAGAAGAAGAGTCTTAACTGTTCTCCCCATTATGTTCTTGTAGCACACTTAAAGAATTTATAGTAACCTAAGTGATATTGAATGAACAGATTTATTGTTATCTATTGCTCCCATAGCTACCTAAGTATTCATATGTACTGGTAGTGCTTTTTGTCACTTTTATTGAAATGCTGATGTAGGACCCATGGACAGTGGAAAATTGCACGGTGGAAAGGAAATGAGGGAAATTCAATATAAATTGCAAGAACTTGTTTCGCAATCGAGCCCATGTATAAACCAAATTAAGCAATTAGCAATTTGCTATACAGAAGTTTATGTTTTACCTTCTCCATACTCATTTTTTCTGGCATTACAATGATACATCTGTAACCTTTCACTGCGGCAGCCAGGGCCATACCAATACCTAAAATATAGGTTTGTCAGGATTAATTACAAATTGAAATACTTACATAAAGATAGCAGAAAAAAAATCTAAGTTGTTAATTTGTTGAGGTTTTGTGTGAGTCTCATATGGAGTATTTCAGTAAAATACTGAACAGCAATTGTGCTAGCATGGTATAACATTATGCTACCTTCTGTACATTGTATAAATGAATTCAGTGGAAGTGGACCATTGGTTGTAGAAAGGTAACAGCATTATCATGGAAAAAAACATGTGCTCCACATACATGTGCTCCACATACACTGGAATTGCAAAATCCAAGATTTGTTCATCTATGTACTAAATAGGATTCCTGGAAGCAGTGAAATGAAACATCTGTCTTGACTCATCATACACTTGAAGTCTGTATTATCCATGCAATTTTATCATGGACGTATTCCAAATATTTTGTAATGAGCAGTCATATGTTGAACTTAAACATTGTTGTGTCTGTGTAACAAAAATGCAATGTCTGATGCAAATTAGTCTGCGTCACACAAATTGCATATCATTAGTTAATCACTGAAATGTTATGTATGTCAATAACACAAGGTTCAACAATACCTGTATTTCCTGAAGTTGGTTCTATAAGAACATCTCCAGGTTTCAGTATTCCCGCCTTTTCTGCATCTTCAACCATCCGTAGTCCAATACGGTCCTTCACACTGCCTCCAGCATTAAAAAACTCACATTTTGCCACTGAAAAAAAACAACAACAACATAAAATTATCTCATTCAGCAAATTCCATCAATATCTTGATGTCAGTACATCTATTTTGATTATGAGTCACTTCAACACTATCGATATTAAAGAATAACATGGAAACTTTCCAGCTTTGCGTGGAGGAAAGAACCACAAACCTTCCATAAGATATCTCCATATTAGCTCTCTTACCCAAGTCAAAGGCAGGATTCAAATCCACAGCTCTGAGCCCAGATGCAAATTGTTCAACATCGGTGACCTTGTTATGTCTTTCAATATTATTAACATAGCTTAATATATAACTTACAGACTTCACAATGCAGTCCAGCGGACTTGGGAATTCTGTTGAGACGTACGAGTGGTGTGTTACCAATGTTGTCTAAAATTGTTGACATTATAGCGGGCTTCCCTGTCCTGTAAAACATCAGAATACAGAATATTTAATTCTATATAATATAATAATATTATCAACTTTGGTGGAAAAGTGAATCAGAAATTTATAGTATTCATATATATTTGAGTTTTCTTATTAACACTTACCACACTAAATATCTTAATAAATGGACATGATTGTCTATCTTTCAATTTGAACATAATCAATTTCAAAATAGCAAACAGTGCAGACCATAATCAGACAGCTTGGATTCTCTTGCTGACCTTTGTCAACACTGTCTGCAATGGTAGAATCAAATGCTGTTTAAAGAATAGGGGTTACATTAAATGTTGCAGTTTGTGCTATGGCATGATTCATACATCATTATACATTATTTCAGGCACATCTGTTACAAACATGTACACATATATTTGCATTATACCTCATAAACATATGATTATCAATACATTGATGCAAGATAATCTTTGTCCCATACTATATGCATCACATCTTATTTCTAAACAACAGCTGTCTGTAGGACAGCACGCTTAACTATTCTCAGAGCTTGACAGCATAACTCTGTAAAATGGTAATTCAGAGTTATGGAACCTATACCCATTATGTTAGATAATCACAGAGACCAAGTGTGTGAAGTTTCAACTCATTCCCTTCAGTAGTTTTGGAGATACCAACTTAAAACTTTTAATCAAAATGTAATGGCTTTGCCAATGCCAGTGTAAAAACAACAATTATTTTTCAAATGGACCAGCTAAAAATCTCTAAAATCACAACCTGAATCCCATATCTGTGACTCTAGCTTTTTTTTAATATGGTGAAATGGATATATGAATTACTCAATTTTATTGTAATAAATAGATTTTTTAACATACATAAAGCATCAATAGTTCAATACACAATACTGGTTAGTTATTTTAGTTGGAATACAAGGGAGCTCAAACCTACAACCCCTGGTTTTGTAATTAGTCAGATTAACAGCTTGACCACTGTGCATGACCTAGAGAAAACCATACTTACACTTTAACATGGCGATGTGGGGATTCAGAAATAGATTTGGCATCATGGTATGTGCACCGACTTGGTAAATCTGGCCTCTGCCATTTGCGGAATGGACTGTTCCTCTCGATTCCGTTCTGTGATATTGGGCATTCAGACATGATTTTTGGTACTGTAATCTGTCTTGTTCTGAAAAGAAAATGCCACAATGTTATCAAAAATACATTTAAAAAAAGTAGTGCTTACTGTACAAACAATCATGAAAATGGTATATTCTTCGGAAAATTCTTGGGAAACCATTTAATTTCCCACAATAGCCTGTAAAAGGGGAAAGCCAAGGAAAACAAGATATAAAGCTGCAGCAACATTCCTTCTTACCATACAAGTTAATACAAGGGTCTTGATATTGTACTCCAAAATAATACAGTGTATGGGTCATTTACAGACACTAGGCAATCATAAATGATTCATAGCAACGTTTGAGAATTCTCTTGCAAAGCATGAGTGGTGGCACTCAAACAGTTTTCTATCTGAAAGTCACTGTGAAATTTAAACTTAAGCAAACTGAACTCCATTAACAAAATTGGGCATTTTACTAATCACAGAATGACATAATTATCCTATAAAGTTTGGCAACTGTTTTCTATCTAAAGGTCATGGTGACCTTGACCTCTGCTGTAGTGTTCCCTCAAACACTACCCCCAAAAAAGGAATCTTCTGCTAAACACAAGCTATCATCTAAACTAAAAGTCAAACCATGAATGCAAGAGTTATTGTTCTCTAGTCATTGAAAATCTGTTACCTGCCTGATTCACTTTGGCCCAAAATTTAATTATACATATATATGTATTCCTGAAAACAACAAAAGGTCATCATCCACTGCAGATCAAAATGGAGAGGTCTACAAACCTGTGATATGCCAATGTGTGAGTAAAACAAATTCAGTGCTCAGGGCCTTTACTTCATAATTTTTGGGGCCAAAATTCGGCCCATATTTTTATATTCTTCCCAATTATCTTTTTTATTTCATTTTGGAAAATCCCCTCTAAAAAAAATGTTATTTTTAAATTTACCCAACCTTAACAAGATCGTTTTAAAATTTCCTTTTTACAAAATAAATGAGAATGGACAGTTGTCTGTGATAAACCAATCCTATAGTGTATTTGCTATTATTCCTCCCACATTTAATAACTTAAAGGGGTTTCAGTCAAACTTTCACAGAATTATTATCATCAATTTACTAGTGTCCTGCTGCATATATACCAGTCTTAATTGGTAAATACATGAAAAAAAACCAAAACATTTTTAGTGAAAATTTTCTGTCATTTTTTCATTTAAAAAGAAACACACTTTCCTGAAGAAGACATGTCATTTCACTGTTTTTTATGGGCTGATTTGGGGACAAAAAATTTCCTTTGTTTCTTAAAATTAAAAAATTTATCCTCCATCACTATAACAGCTTCCAAGGTACTTCAAACTGAGGAAATTTTGACTGGATAAAAACCTTATGTTCAGTCAGGTAATATGTTCTACCCTTAAAATTAAATGCACCCCACAGCAGACAAAATTATGTTATGCTTGCCCACATGCATACGTCACTGTGTCAAACTTTACAAAATTTGACCCGATGTAGAAGATACTTAAAATCATTGATTTTTTAAAAAGAATATATATAGATAACGGTTCATTTTCGAATGACAACTTGCATTTTACCTGAATGTTATGCAAATGTGTTCTGATCTTTTTCTGTTGACAATTTTCACGCTTGTGACCGCACCTCCACGTTTCTTGAATCTGATTGGTCGAAACGGTATTGGCCTTCTTTCAATGCTGACATACCTAAAATCTGACAATGGAATATCCTATATCCGGTCTCAAATTTTCAATTTTTAAAAGATCGTTTTAATGTCTAATTTGCAATTCCATAAACTATTTTACAAATTTCATGATAAATGATTTAAGATAAAGATAAAATATCTAAAGAAAAAACAAAAACCAAAAATATCATGATTTATATTGAACAGACTGGTTTACGCTTAAACACCGTTTATCTCCCCGGATTTCGCGTTTAATATTGTTACACAGTCTATATTTTTCAGAGAAAAATGGCCGAACATCAGGACGATTCTCTGTATCCAATTGCGGTATTAATAGACGAATTAAGAAATGAAGATGTACAGGTATCATGCGAATTTATATGTTTTAACTGTTTTTATGTCTGGACACATGTTTATTATGGAGAAATGTTTTAAATTTTAGTATTTGAAAGGTTGAAATTTTGCTGTAGAAACCTGCCCAAACAAACAAAAATTCGAAAGAAATTTCCTGATGAGGTGATGAGGCGGAAAGGTGTTTGAGTTCACGAATACAAGTCTCTCATTAAGTTGATCTACCTGTATCATTGATATAAGTACGAAAGCAATGATTCACTCTGGGTTTCAGGCTTGACACAAATTATAATCATGACCTGAGTCATGAAATTATACTGATAGCAACAAAAAATGGTTTTATTTAGAATCCACTTGTGTGCAGACTTTAAAAAGAAATCTGAGGACAATTTTCACTTTATCAACAGAGCAATTTGTTACTCTGCTTTCTGTTCAAATCATAAGCATATACTGTGAGTAAATAATGTCTCGATAGTACTTCACTACTTGAAGTTGAATAAATTAAATTCTTTGTGTACAAAACAACAACTTAATTGCTTCAAAAAAGTACAAATATATTATTAACTTAGTGTGTATGGGACTAACACAAACAGACCAGACTAAATTTAATTATTCTTGAATATTAAACAGGTTTAAACGTGGCAAAATGAGCAGCCAAAATTGATTCAACATTTTCGCTAATTTCTACTTCTTGACTTGTAGTTTGGATTTTGTATTTTATTGCAATTTATGACAGTCTGGAAAGTAAATAAAGTAATGGAAAATAGCATTTAGTAAGGTTTTGGAATTTGTGAATAATACCACAGTTTTCACAATACAGTATTGTGATACATGACTAAAGTATATATATTTCAGGAACAAAATTCTTATAAATTTACTGTTTTGATTTTAAGGCGCTCCAACAGTTTTAGCCATTTGGCGCCAAAACAGGAAAGATGATTTTGGCTTACCCCGGGTGTAACAAACTAAATGTGACACCAGGTGTCAAAACCACCTCACCTGCTGAAGCTAAGATCTATGCATAGACTCAAGTAATTCTTATATAGTTGCCTTTGAGTCTCATGTCAGTTACGAACATACATGGTTAAACGGTGGCTGCAATTCAGATGCCATAACCAGTAAAGGCAACCCCTCCATCCAAAGGGGCTTATAAATTGGTTTATTCAAATTAGTAAATTTAATGTGTTCATCTTAAATCTGACTGGTAGTGGTACTTTTTTAATATATAATGTAAACAATAGATAACATCTGAATAGCTAAAAATGATGATGTTGAAAATAATTGATGCACAGTGAATACATTCATTTGAAAAGTTCAATTATGGATAAGATTTGGCTTGAATACCTGTTATATTTTAATGAAATATATGACCATTAGCTGTGATAAAGGGCTGATAGATTCTGTCAGGAGCTTCATCATGTGCTGTTACCTCCGCTGAATCATGAATGGTATAGTTCTTAGACTGATCACTTTGTTTAATGTCCATGTGACAGAATGGGTTATTGTCTTATTTATATCTTATATCTGATGTGTTATATAAGCCTAACACTATATGTTGGCGGAGATATATATTACAAAAAGACAAGAAGTTAAAAAGTAAAAGAAAAAATGTCTTTTTTGAAAGTCACTGTATTAAAGCATTTTATTGAAAAAATAACATACATCAAATGATGCATGGTACTGTCAACTTGAGTATCATTAAAAGATAAAATCTTAATCAGCAATTTAAAAGCAGTATTTATGACAATTGTAATTAAAACTTGAAATATCAAATGCAAAATAGGTAATACTAATTAATACAACATTTAGAATTTACATAAAATTTCCAAAAACTTGCTTACAAAGTATTGCTGTACTTAACAAAGTTAATACATACATTTCAATCAATGGTGATATAACATACAAACTTGTTAAATATTTATGTACTTAATCCCCATTATGAATGAAATGGTTTTCAATGTATTTGAATATAAATCTTTTTTTTCTCACCTTTTTGGAAATGATCCTCATGACGATGTACAAGCAATAGGGATTTATTTTCTAGAATGTTGTATTCTGGGAGACACAGCAGCAAAACAATCTTCTTGTGCTTTTTGAATATGACACATTAATGATTATGTTAAAATAGGAATGTTATATGCAATAGGGGACCATCCTTTTCCCAGATTAGATGTAAACAGACCTGTATAAAGTAGAGAATAAGCACTTTATTATATGAAGGAAAATAATATGTTTGTGTCAATGTTATTTCCAGGGAAAAAACATGATATGATAGTATATAATATCTTTATATCAATTTTTATTCCATTAATTGCAGCTTCGGTTAAATAGTATAAAGAAGTTGTCTACAATTGCTTTAGCCCTTGGAGTAGAGAGAACAAGAAGTGAACTCATCCTCTTCCTAACAGGTACATGTCCTTCTGAATTATTCCGTACCCTAGTACTATCAGTACTTGATTTTATATAGCATTATACATGTTAAGTAGCAATCCACTTCATTTAAGTGCCATTATTTCCCAAAGAAAGCTTATGATTCTTCTGGAAGTAATAACAAAATTTGAATATGTTTATTGTTTAAAAATTACACATAAATTTATATATAATATAATATTATATTTATTACATTTTATTTAAAGATATCATTATCAATGAAAAAATTAAATTGGTTAATACTTTGTTGTTACAGTGATGATTATTTTAGAGATTATGCATTGATTTAACATATTTACATCAATTTTCAGACACAATTTATGATGAAGATGAAGTATTACTAGCTCTAGCTGAACAATTAGGCCAGTTCACTCCACTTGTAGGGGGACCAGAATATGTCCACTGCCTTCTGGTAAGCTGTCAGTGTTGTTTTAATTATCATCTACAAGAAGTATTTAGAGTTTTCCCTCCTAGTCCTATCTAATGTATTAATGTCTATGATAAGTAATCAACCCATAGATTGTACAAATTCAGTCAACTTTATGACTTTTATATCCGGTTTTCACTTATATCTTTTAACATATATCTTTCCTAGCAAAAGATAATGATTAAATTTTAACAGATATATTTCAGAAACGCTTGATCTACCTTTTTCCATAATAAATGATTCCAGACAATTACATATGATCAATGATTACAAAATGTATGATCTTTTAAATTTACTGAAATAAAATATTCAGATCATTCTGCTGAGCTTGGAGAGGTGACTTTAAATCTTATAGAGAAGTTTACTAACAAGATAAAAACAAATTTGATAGAAATGAATATTATAATTTATTGATTAATATTTCAGCCTCCATTAGAGAGTTTAGCCACTGTAGAGGAGACTGTTGTCCGTGACAAAGCTGTCGATTCATTGAGAACCATCGCAGCACAGCATTCACCAAGTGATTTGGAGAATCATTTTGTACCTCTTGTGAAAAGACTGTCAGGAGGTCAGTTATTTTAATGTATAAAAGAGAGAGACAAAGAAATAGATATTTTCATGTTGTATGTGTGCTCAAACAACCCTAAGGCTGACAACTTTAGAAATATTTGCATATCAAAATTATATATTCAGTCATTCAAACAAGTAAACATAACAATTTAAGAGATGATGTTTTAAACAATTTGACTGTATTTGTCAATTTTAACACAATTCATGTTGATTGCCTTATGCTAGCTAACAATAGTTTTTACTGATTGAACCATTAAACTAAATGTTTAAATAAAAACTGTGCATCAGTCAAGAGACACGCTGCTTTACATTTGATTATTTCACTCCAAGTTTATGAAAGAGAAACTCTTTGTTTAACAGAAGCTAATTGTTATTAATGTATGAAATAAAAAATTTATTGTGTTTACAGGTGATTGGTTCACATCTAGAACATCGGCATGTGGTTTGTTTGCAGTAGCATATCCTAGAGTATCCAGCTCTGTGAAGGCTGAACTTAGGCAGTAAGTCGTGATTTTGCATGTTGAGATTTAATTGAAATATGTGTGTGAATTTAGGCTTGAGTGTGAAAAGTAAGAAATATAAGTTTGAACTGTGTAAACATGAGGTTGAATAGGTTTTAGTTGAACTATTGTTAGAATAGGGAGAGCTATTGTATTCACCCAGGTGTCGGTGTCACATTTAAGTGTTTGCATGCAAGTTGGTATCTCCAAAAATACTGAAGAGAATGGGTTAAAACTTCACATACTTATTTGAGAGCATAAAAGGAGATAACATTCCAAGGCCCATAAATCTAACATGGATTTTGACAGAATTATGGCCCTTTTTTAACTTAGAAAATTTTACATTATCCAGGTTCTTGTTTTACTATCAAGCACTGAGAATAGTCTAGCATGCTGTCCTACCAACAGCTCTTGTTATATTATATTTTGACAGATAAAGCTTTTCACTATTTAAGAATTGGAAATACAATTGCATTGTTACAACATAAAGCATTGTGTTTTGTTTGTAGGCACTTCCGTAACCTGTGCAGCGATGACACACCAATGGTTCGTAGAGCAGCCGCAGGAAAACTTGGCGAGTTTGCAAAAGCCGTTGAGATGGAATACCTCAAGTCCGACTTGATTCCCCTGTTCATAAACCTAGCCTCAGATGAACAGGTAGGAAATGTAGGAACCATTTATTTTTTTACCCTCACATTTTTCCCAGTTTGCTTGGAAGTGCAAGAAACAGAAAAATATTTGCAGATAGAGATCAAAGATAAGTTATTTACGTAAAACAGCAATGTTTTTGGTTTTTCGGCATTCAGATATTTCTCTGTTTTCTGCAAAAAAGTAAGATTCTTTTGTTCAATGGAGAAGAGATGTGTAGAACAATTTTAAAAAGGTAGGGGCACTGTTGCAGTGTTTTGTTTTGGTGTTCGTTTTTTTTAGTTTTATTTATTTTGTCATAATACTTTCTAACATAAACTGAACTGTAACTTACTGAAATATGTGGGTAGAGAAAGAAAATGGCTGTTGGTTTGAGATATTTTAATAACATAATCTTTATTAAGTTTTGAACAGAGGTTGAAAAAAAAATATTTGAAGATTTTTTTAAATGTTAACATTATAGTATCTGTCGATTATACTGATATATTATTTTTTTATTAGGAAAATTTTCCCTAGATCTACTAAGATACAAGCTACCTTACAAAGGAATAGTGTTTTTATTGAGGTGTGCAATAATTTATTGATATTGCACAGAGGAGGGCCTTCAGTATTCCTCATGTTGAAAACTGTAAAAGTTCTCTGTTCTCATGATATAACAATATTCTCAGTCAGAATGTCATAATGCCCCCAAAAAATTAACTGTTTATTCAAACCATTCTTAACTTAGAAGCTTTGACCATTAATTATTTGTCTTAAATTAGAATTGACATTCAGGTATGACTATAAATTGATTTGTAATGATTAGAGAGAAAAAATATTGAAAAGCAATTCCCATTAAATTTCGCCATTTTTGTCTCTTTCATTATTATATATATACATGTATTGGATGGGTTGACTTAATCTTTTGTTGCTTTTAGTGTATATCATGCTTTCTTTATATCTTTTTAAAGTTGATAAAAAAATTGCCAACTTGACCCTGCAAAGACTGATGTATTATCATTAAGCCTAACTAAGATGACTTAATATAATGAACTTGACTGGATTTGATTTTGGAACAATCCATTTGCAGTTACAGGGATTTCATTATCAAAATACTAAAATTTAGTAGCCTTCAATATATAGCCAGCTCCAACTACACAAAATGAGTGGCCTGGCTTTTAAATTTGTTGCTATGGCTACAAAGATTTGATTAGGGCTTGTATGTAAAGTTATAATTTTCCATAATTGTTTTTGGTGGCTTTGTCTATTTGTTTTTATCAGTATGTAAAAGCATGGAGTTTGTGATGATTTATGCTGCTTTGACAAAATTTTATTTTTAAAAAAAACATGCACAGTTAACTGTTATTATTTTGGTATTCATTAAAAACGACAGGCACTGAATTAAGATAAATATCTATGTAGTATAAAATATTAAAAGCTTTAAAAATAAGAAAAAAAAATAAAATAATTGTCTACATGTTATTTAACTGATTGAACAGGTCTAATAAGTTGAAAAAAATATTTATTGATATTTCTCCCAGACTAAAATTATTAAATTTATTATATTATAATATGCAAATATGCTTTAAAGCTTACAAAAACTTTTGTATAAATTGTTTTCCCATCATCTACTGATGTTCAGTTAAGTTTTTGTTATTTTCAGGATTCTGTAAGACTTCTGGCAGTGGAGGCATGTGTCAGTATCGCGTCTCTACTCGGACACGAGGATATTGAGGCCCTCATTTTACCTACATTGAGGCTGGCCACGGAGGACAAGTCCTGGCGTGTAAGATACATGGTCGCAGACAAGTTCACTGAGGTAAAATTGTTAATTTCAGAGTTATATGGATTTTGAATCTGTCAATTTAGTTCTATTTTTCTGATGGAAAAAATGTTGATAACTGTAAGCTGAAAGCTTTATTATCCCCCGCCGAAAAATTTCGGCGGAGGATATAGAAATAGTCTCCGTCCTTCCGTCCTTCCGTCCGTCCTTCCGTCCGACATTTTTGTCCGGAGCATATCTCTAAAAGTATTTGAGGTATCAACTTGAAACTTCATAGGTGGATAGACCTCATTGAGGAGGAGTGCAGTGCACAAGAATGATAACTCTACCTTGCATGATTTTTGAGTTATTGCCCTTTGTTATTTTTCAAAATTGATTTTTGTCCAGAGCATAACTCCAAAAGCTTATGAGATATTAACATGAAACTTCATAGGTGCATAGATCTCACTCAGGAGGTGTGCAGTGCACAAGAATGATAACTCTACCTTTCATAATTTTTGAGTTATTGCCCTTTGTTATTTTTCATACCTAATTTTTCACCTGAGTGGAGCATAACTCAAAAAGTGTTTGAGATATCAACATGAAATGTCATAGGTGGATAGATCTTATTGAGGAAAAATGTTGTGTGCAAGAATGATAACTCTTCCTTATACAATTTTTGAGTTATTGCCCTTTGTTTTTTTTATGTTATTTTGTCCAGAGCTTATCTCAAAAAGTATTTGAGGTATCAACTTGAAACTTCAAAGGTGGATGGATCTCATTGAGGAGGAGTGCAGTGCTTAAGAATGGTAACTCTACCCTGCATTATTTTTGAGTTATTGCCCTTTGTTATTTTTCAAAATTAATTTTTGTCCAGAGCATAACTCAAAAAGCCTTTGAGATATCAAAATGAAACTTCATAGGTGCATAGATCTCACTCAGGAGGTGTGCACTGCACAAGAATGATAACTCTACCTTTTATAATTTTTGAGTTATTGCCCTTTGTTCTTTTTCATACTTAATTTTTCAATTCAATTTTTTTCTCAAAAAGTATTTGAGGTATCAACTTGAAACTTCATAGGTGGATAGATTTAACTGAGGAGGGATGCAGCACACAAGAATGATAACCTACCCTGCATTATTTTTCAGTAATAGCCCTTTGTTATTTTCAGCCATCAGTATTCACATAGGTTTCAAATCTGTAATCATTATAGCCATCAGTTTTCATTACCAAAAGACCTCTTAAAATGGAATTATTCCGCTCTACTACATATACATTCTTCCAATGAGCAAACACATTCGGCGGGGGATGGCCATGTTGACATGGCTCTTGTATGAATGTTATTTTAACCATTTTATATAGAAGTGATTTGAAGAAATTTACATTTTATGTCTGTGTTCATTTTAATGTAGTCATAAGATGATTTGTAAGTGAGATTTATTGGGTTGTAAGAGTTTGAGTTTAAAAGACACATCTTGAACTGATGTATGTAAAGAAATTTATGTGCGCATACATGTGGTATCTGGTTCCCGTTTTCTATAGTTACAAAAGGCAGTTGGTCCTGATATCACAAAAGCAGAATTGGTACCAGCTTTCCAGAGTTTACTCAAAGATTGTGAAGCCGAAGTCAGAGCAGCATCTGCACATAAAATTAAAGGTAAAAGTTTTACCACATAATTGAATGACTTCCCAGTATCAAGATAAGGTAGCCTGCAAATGTGAAGACTTACAATACCCTCTGCCCACTTAGCCCAGCTAATAGTGAGAGTGTCATATTAGTAACCCATATTTGCCCTTCCTTATCATAATTATATCATTTTGTATCATAATGATTGTTGCCATGACAACTCTTTATAGAGTAAATTGCAAGAAAGTTACACCCGAACAATTAAAATGGTCAAGTACCTACTATGTACATTAGAATTAGATAATGATACAAAAACAACATTAAAATAAAAAATCAATCAAATATGATGGTTTCATGAACATAAGTTAATGTTAAAATTATATTGTCTTACATTTTTCAGAATTTTGTCAAAATTTGAATGCGGACTGCAGGGAGCAAGTTATAATGACATACATCTTACCATGCGTGAAGGAGCTAGTATCTGACGGCAATCAGCATGTCAAGTCGGCTCTTGCCTCGGTCATCATGGGCTTGTCTCCAATACTCGGAAAAGAAAAGTATGTATGATGAATTATAGACAATATTCACAAAAGTAGGAGTTCTTTTTTTATGCATGTTTCATTTAAATTCAAGGATAAAAATGTATTAAAATAGAAATACTTAAAAAAGAATGTAAATTAAACTTTTCTTCCTTTCTTTCAGCACAATAGAACATCTGTTGCCACTGTTTTTGACTCAGTTGAAGGATGAGTGTCCAGAAGTCAGGTTAAACATCATCTCAAATCTTGACTGTGTCAATGAGGTAATTCTCATCACATTTTATCATCTTATTTGAGCACATGTTTGAAACAAAGTCCAGATTCTGTAGTCATTAGTACTATTAGTCCTAGTAATTTTGCTATGTCCAGCTACCATAATGACATGTCATAGATTCAGGCCAACATGCATGTTTGCTATTTTTATCAGTGGTGGTTTTAGACCGTTGTTAATTATATTTTTAATTCTAGCATGCTTGTGTTGATTATTATCTCTGTGCGACAAGTGTTGACTGAGATTATCAAGCACGTCTGTGCTATCTCATTATAGTGACATGCCGGCTCATCATGGTCAGCACTGTTCTCTATTCAGCTAGTACTTATTACTGTTGTTTATAGTTCTGGGACAGAAATTTTGAGTAAAATGAATGTAAGAAAGTAACAACTTGAACAAAATTCAACTGGTCAGTCAATAGATATTTTAGAAAGACTTGTTACATGAAATTTGTTCATAATGAACTAAACAAAATGTTATTGATCTACCAGTCAGTGAAATGGATGGAGATCTGTAGTGTGTTTTAATATTAAATTTACTAAAAATGATATCAAATATAGAAATAAGGAAATCCTTAAGATACAAGCTTTGAATTGAGTAAATAATAAAAAAAGGGGAACATTTACAGAGCAAAATATTCCCAAAAAATCATAAAAAGCAGCAAAAGAGGCAACAATGGCAACAGAAAGATAAAAACTTTTTAAAAAAATGGCAGAAACATAGATCCTCCGATTAATTGTTTGAACTGTTTTGTAGGTCATCGGGATCAAACAGTTATCCCAGAGTTTATTGCCAGCTATTGTAGAACTGGCCGAGGACACAAAATGGCGAGTCAGACTAGCAATCATTGAGTACATGCCTCTACTTGCAGGCCAGCTGGTAAGTGACTCCAGTCATTTTGAATTTACTGGCCCCAATTCCAGTTTTGAATTTATTCTACTACATATTTATCTAAATTTTCTTAAAAATAACACTGGTCCAAACTAATGTTCACTGACCATGGGCCACCGGGCCAGTGCTAAATTCGATGACTGTAGTCTGAGTGTAGATTATGTGTATATTATATATGCATGCAAACTGTGAATTGGATGGGTCATGGGTCATTTTCATAGTTTGTACTAGTTTGATCAAGTGCCCCAACACTGCAGAGGTTTGAATCTCTACATGTGAAAAAGAGTATCCTGGTATCCAGGTTGTTTATGGAAAGTCAGCAGTTCTACTTGGGAGGCTGATGGTGTGTGAAATAATGCATAGGGAGGTGCATGATGTCTTCCTCCTTTAATAAAGCTTGAACGATGCCACATGGCTATTAACAGTGTTGATGAGATATAAAACACAACCTCACCATTGTGATTTTGAATAGTTTCTTTGCAATATAATCAACATACAAAGTCAGATGAACAGTATAAGTGTCATAAATATGTGTCATTATGACCCTTTTTGATGATGGTTATTCTTTTAATTAAACTAAAGACATAAGTTATGTTTTTGTTTTTATTTACAGGGTGTTGAATTCTTTGACGAGAAGCTGAATTCTTTATGCATGACCTGGCTTGTTGATCATGGTAGGTTGTGATAATTATTTGTTATATTTTGATAGAATTGTATATGTACGATAGAAATGCATGGAACTGACACATCAAAAGTAATGCATTCTAACTCATTGATTAGTTTCATTTATCATTGAAGTATTGAACTAAATAGTACCGGCATGACAAAATAGACATGATATTACTTCATGTTCAGATTCCTGTGTAAAAAAAATTGGAGCCACCAGTTGAATTTGGGGCCAGAAGTGTGACATCACCATTCCCCATGTGATGAAAAAAAAATTACTGGCCACTTTTTATTAAGTTATAGCAAATAGCTGTAGGGATGGACAGTGATGCGAGCACTGATTCTTAGTTGATAATATAATCAGTTAAATGTTTGGAAGTGATAATGTTTAATTTTTGTTTGCCAACTTCTAATTTTTGTTTGCCTTCTTACAGTGTTTGCTATACGTGATGCTGCGACGAAAAACTTACAAAAGCTAGTAGAGAAGTTTGGTACAGAGTGGGCACAACAAACTGTTATACCTAAAGTTATACAGATGTCACGTGATGCCAACTATCTTCACAGAATGACGTGTCTATTCTGTATAAATGTAAGTTTTCTTTACATTTTAATATAAAATGACACCCTTTTAGTATAAATATATCTATTCCTAAAAGTATACATATGGCCATAAGACCATTCAACAAATGAATCTTTTTATATATAAAACAGAAAGGATGTGAATGAAAATAATGGTTATATTTCAGGTTTGTAAAATAAAAATAAAAAATCAGAAGAACCGACTTCAGGTGAAAGGGAAAAAACATTTAAATTAAAAAAAATGTAACTTTTTCCATCTTGGATAATTTTCAATGTGTCTGGAAATTTTGGTAGTCCAAGAGTTATATATAGATCTGTAGTAAAGAAAATATTGTATAAAGTGTATATTGTGATTTGTATTTCAGTTACTGGCACAAGAGTGCGGTCCAGATGCTACCATTAAATTAATGTTACCCACAATCCTTACCATGTCTAATGATGGTGTCGCTAACGTGAGATTTAATGTTGCCAAATCTTTACAAAAACTTGGAAAAGGCTTAGATTCTGCGTAAGTGACCCTTAATTTTCCATTATAGACCCACATAATATGTATTTCTGTATATATTTAACTTGTCCGCCAATTGTGAATGTGAGAAAAGCCTCTGAAAAATAATATCATTGTATTGCATTCATTGTTGTTTAAAACAGACCGACTTGGGTTTTACCAGATAAACTTGGGTTGTAAGTGATCAACTCTGCTTCTGCACTGATAAGACCGTACTTCCAATTTGTGCTTTTAATGGATTTTGGTGATACTATAAATTTTGATCTTCACCAATAAGGAGCTAGAAAAATAATTAAATATTAAATATAGAGATCTAAAAAAATATTCCCTCTAGTACGGACTTTTAAACAGTAATACAAACAAAAATTTAGTAATTTTCAAGTAAGCTTTAATGAATAGGTAAATTACCTTGATTGCGTTAGTTTGTGTCAATAATGTAAATCATAAAACATTTTGTTTTCACAGGACTGTTAATTCTCAAATAAAGCCGTGTTTAGACAAACTGAAGACCGACAGTGATATAGATGTTGCACATTTTGCATATGAAGCAATAGATGGTAAATATAATTGCTTAATTACAGTGGTTATGTTATTATTTTTCAACTCATAAGTTGCAAAGGGCAACAAAATAAATACCCATGAGACCAGTACATAAAAATATTAGCTAGCACATCAGTGCTGTCTGATCTTGGTCTGCACTGTTTGCTATTCAGTCTCTACTTACTTTGAAATTTTCCCTAAAAATGAGGAATGGTTTAGTCCAGATTGTAAAAATTGACAAGTCATCTAAAAATATTTGGCGCAGTAAGAATTAAATGATAATAGTCGCAATGAATTGCGGCACAAGTATAGAGCTAGGTCAGCCTGCAAATCCATGCAGCTTCTCTAATACTTCTCGCTGTTAAGTATTACTATTTTGATGGTGAATACCCTCTTGTCAAAAATGGACTGGACCAATACATTATTTTTAAAAAAAAAAAATTGGAGATTTTTGAGTCTGTCTACATTATCATGAAAGACTTAAAAGTTAGTTATGGTTAATATATGCTTATATTTTGTTGTCAGAAAGCATAATAATATTATATTGTTAAAATTTGTGGCTTTTGTCAAGATAGAGTAAAATAATTAATTAAGAAATAACATATCCAAAACAGTGATTTTATCGCTCAATAACATCACTGTTTGGAGTTCGGATGCGGGGAATTATATCACGAGGGCGTAGCCCGAGTGAATAATGATGCGCATCCGAAAGACAAACTAATGATGTTATCAAGTGTAAAATGCACCGATTTGGATATATTATTAATTCGATTCTAACACGACATCAACACATAAATGCTGCCGTACCTGATATTAACCTAAATGCGCCTTATTTGTTTCCGTACTTATTTTCAGCGCGTCACATTTTAGTAGTTACGTCACGTGTATAATGATTACGTCACATGTCTAAATATAGATAGTCAAACTGTGATTTTATTGCATAATAACACACACTTTCAGTTCTTCTATGTTCAATGGGGAAAAATGCGGGTCGTGTTAGAATATAAAGTATATTTTATTTGTATGTTATATTTTACCTAAATTTATAATGTTTTCTTGTTATATTTCAGCCCTGAAACTCAGTTAAATTACATAGTAGGTCATTGTATTAAGTTATTTTGGTAAGTTAATTTTATACTTTTGTTAAATATACTGCTTTGATTGATGCATTATTTGAAATGTTTGTTCAGTAATCCATGTCTGATTAAGCAGTGGTCATTTCTAAATAAAATTTCACTGTTCAGTGTTGTTGTTATTCAAGAAAGGATCTTACTTGAATCACTATTAAAGCAGATATTTCTACCTTTGAATTATAACTTGTTTGTCATCATGACCACAAATGTAAAAAAGTTGGGAAAAAATGAATTGAGAAATGTTGGTAAAATTGGATTTTCTTTTCTATGTGATCATGGCTTCTGACTTTGAATATACCTTTTGGTGTTTAACTCACTAAAGAAATTGAAAGGGACCATTGTCCTAGTGTTTAAGATGTCAGCATCTCTACCAAGGGATCCTTGGTTTGATCCCTGCCAAGGTCATGACCATGTTCTTCATATGTCACCAGTACTGATTTGTAGCAAACTGGAGAGTATTTAATTAAAAATTCATTATAACCAAGCTTGAAAATTATCTTTAAACTGAAGTGAGTTGAATTTTCCATGTGAGTTGAAATTTGGAATTTCAGGTCAGTGGCTCTACCTGGATACTTGCTTTTGTTTTAACTAATGCTAGGAGAGGTGTCTTCGATCTACTGCAGCTTTTATTGTCATATTATTTTATGTTTTCAGGTTGTTGTTTTGTGAACCAAAAAAAAAGTTGTTTCTAAATATTTTGAACATGTGACTACAAGAAATAGATGTATTTTGTCATTTTGCTGCATAGTGTGAGGAAATATGTGTGCGTGTCAGGCCTGCACTTAAATATAATAGATGACACAATATCAGGAACAGAAAGAACAATTTAACAGAAAAAAAACTTTTTCTTCAGACATACCTGATGGAATGTGCAAGATGCCAGGAATTTGTTATCAACCGATCAAAATTTATATTCAATATAGTGATATAAAATAAAGTGCTGACTTTTATAAAGGACCAGATTCAATTATCTTGTGTTGTATAGAGTATAAAAATAGCATAATTTAAAGTAGATGAAACCCTTTTTACTAAATTCTAGTTCTGACGTTCTTATCCTTGATGCGTATACAAAATCTGATTTCTGAAACTCTGGAACTGGACACGAGATTTTTGTATATTTCTTAAGAAATTAAATTGCATAAAGATAGTAATTTAAAATCTCATGAAACATTTTATCGAGGATCAAATTTTTACTTTTATACTTGCTTTCAGCCCCCGTTACTTTTGAGATTAAAATATTTTTTTCTAATCTCGATATTAAATGCCTGTACGATCTAATTTGTTTTAATTTTTTTTTAAACATTTTATTTCTTTATTAAATTCATGGCAAAATTGTATGTTTCTTTTTTCCTCACTGTTTTGTGTTCAATGGCAATAGATGGTTTTAAAGATGTGATCAGAACTCGCGCCACAAACATGATTTCTTTTTTTGTTTGGTGCGAGCATAATATCAGAACTGCTATATGTAAAAAATTAATTTCATCGAAAGAGGAACCAGGTTAGATCTACTTAAAAATTTGTACGGTGTTGTTACTGAAATTGTGTAGCTTTTTTATTGTGAACACTGATTTATCAAAACTGGACAGGGAAGGTTTTTTATTTCAACAATGTTGATATGCTTTATTAAGTAAGTTTTTTTTGTTGCACACAATGTCTTCATGATTCTCATAGTAATATTAATAAAAGTGGTATCTTCTAACACTGCCTTTGTGTTTTCTATTTGTATGTCTTGGTCATACTACATTGGTAAGTACATACAGTGAGTTCAGGTTTGTCGCCCTATGTGTAAATGTCTTTAGGCAATTTCTTCATGTACAACATTGATTTACATGTAAGTAAGTTACAAGCTGACCGTAAATTGTGTTGGTTGGATGTTAAACCCGACAAAATAAAAAAATCCCATATACGTTACTAGTTATCCTAATCTTATTACCTATCTGTTCCTGCTTTTTACAGTAGTCAAATAAAAAATATCCTACCTGTACTAATAATGAACATTTATATAATTTTGCAAAGCATCTCTTCATTGCCTTGTCTATTTCCACTTACTTTAAAGCCGTGCTCAGCATGATCATAACTATACAGTTTTTCACCAAATGAAATGTACGAAAGAACAACCTTCAGGTTACTTTTTTCCAGAGAGGATATTACTGTTAACCCTTTGTAACATGGCTCTTATTGAATTGACGGTGGAGGGCAAATAAAAATGAATGTTTCAAATCGAAAGTAGGTGTATACATCCTATACACATATCTTATTATGTTAGGCTTGATAAATATTTCTATACAACTTTATGGAGCTCAACTGAAGTGTAAAAACATAAAATTTGAAATGTTGGCATATTTGTAGATCAGCTAAGGCTTTTAATACAGAAAATATGCGAAAGAAATATACCGATTAATTTTTTTTTTTTTTAATTCCAGCTTGATTTCAGTTAAATTTGTTCGAGTCACTCTACACAATTAAAATGATTATTCTAAAGAATTTGAGTACATGAATGCTGCAAAACTTTGCTCAATAAAAGTTTACCAGGGTATTCAAATTGCTTGACACAGTGGTTAACAAGTAGTTTCTAAAACAACTTTATATATTGTAGTTCAGCAATCGTAAAGAAAATTTTGCCAATTTAAACTTTAAAGACCAAAGTGTCATCAGCAATAATCAGAGCTAAATGTCTTGTTAGTTTATCACTTCACTTGCGTATCTAATTTTGAGTCCAGTAAAACTTCTGGATGGATTATATTAACTATGTGAATAAGGGAGAATTATACCAATTAAGTTATGATGAAAATTCATGCTTTGTCTTGAATTTAATTACTAAATTGTATGTTTTTGGTTTTCTAAATATCATACCAACTCCTCAAAACACCCTATTTTTTTAATCTGCTGGTGGCAACTTAATTTTTCCTGCAAGCATGCCTATGAAAGTGTTCAATGTCTGTAGTAGGATTTAAACTCACAGCTTTGAGGTAAAAATGTTGTCAGTGAACTGATCCACTCTGCAATGAAGGCCGAACAGCATCTTGACAAATACTAGTACAAATGTATATGTATCATTACATGAGCCCAGAACTTCACAAGGTTTTGACAAAAACAACAAACAAATTATTAGAATTTATAACAAAACAATCTATTTCCTTTCTCAGTTTTAAAATAAAGTCTACTGGTAATAATCAAGCTTAAAAAATAAGCATCACAGTAAAGTGAACTTATTAGCACAAAACAGCAAGCTTTTTTCCTCCGAATAGTCATTCTTATGATTTCAAATCACATTAAAGTCTTCGTCAAGTAATAATCTCTTGTTTAAACCTTTTATGTATGAAAATTACTCCATAACAACATTTTTTTTCTGTATTAATAACTGCATTTCAAATATATCATTAAACACATGAATTGTTGACACATATTTGTTAAATAATGTACTTGTCCCACACACACAAATATAAAATAATGTTTAGGTCAGGTAAATAATTTATTATCGATCCACTTCACCAAAGACGACATCAAGCGTACCAATTATAGCTACAACATCGGCCATCATGTGTGTATGTGAAAGGTGGTCTAGCCCAGCCTGAAATAATAGAACAATTAGTAATCATTACAAAACACAATGTATTTAGTGCAATAAATTAACAAAACCATAAGCCTGTCGGAATAACCTTCAGTCCTCTCGTGACATTAGAACTGTACATTATTACAGTTTATTTCATGATTTCAAACACTTCAAAGATTAAGAGATCTGTCAATAAATGAAGTGTATTTAGTGACCTTGACCATATTCAGCAACCTCAAACCGAACCAAATGGAAGAGGTCCATGTACAGGAGAGAACTTGCACAACATCATTTGGCTGGGTTTAATGTCGCACAAACACAGTAAAGTTCATATGGCACCTTTCCAGCTTTACTGGTGGAAGAAGACCTCTGGTGCCCCTCTGTGCTTTATTTTAGGGACCGAAGGGCTCCTAAGTAGAACCACCAACATGCTGTGCTGTAAGCTAGCTGGATAGCTTCCTCACACATGTAAGAATCAAAATGGCAAGATATTAACCAACAGCTATGAGGGGCAAGTGGTTAGAAGCCAACTACCTCAATACAGCATCTGATAAATCATTTAATAACATTAAAAGCTATATAAAAAGCAACTTGCTAATGTGTCGCAGTGAAAAACTTAAGGTCAAACTTAAAACTAAATGTTCCAATTAAAAATTTTGGGGTATAAAAAGCAGGATTGAATAAAACTTTATCATCATACCAAATGAGCAAATCCTGGCGCCTTTATCTTACACCTGTATGGTTTGTTAGATCCATCCGAAACCAAGTACACTCCAAATTCACCCTGCAAATAAATATCACATTCAGCATAAAAGAAAACCTGTGTTAACTTTGCATGTAAATTCAACGAAAAGCTTTTAAAATACTAACATCTCTAGTTAACCAAATTTATTCTAAATACAGCATTGATATTTCTCTTAACATATTAAAAGGGCAAATTTTTACAAACTAAATCTTCACAAATGATTTAGTTACATGCTACCTTAACATTCTTGCTAATAAACATCTTGTCATATCTAATTGGCAAATGAACATTGATTTTTTTGAAGATATTTTTTAATAATCAATTAACCTCCAAAACAACAGCACTGGTTATCTTGGGACCATCCAATGGCAAGATTTCATAAATTTGTTACTTTAAGCAGGGTCCAAAATCTGGACGAAAATCAATAGATGTTTTCACATAGCAATTTTAAGCTCCCTTGGTCACAGTCATCGAATTTAGCACTGGCCCGATGGCCCATGGCCAGTGAAAATTAGTTGAGGCAAGCGTAAATTTTAAGAAAATTTAGTTAAATATATAGTAGAATAAATTCAAAACTTGAATTCTGGCCAGTAAATTCAAAATCTTAAATTCAATGACTGTGGTCACCATTGTTAGGGTTATTTCCTATATATCTTATGCTTAAAAGGAGATGAAAATCTCTCCTTATTCTATTAAATTTAAAATTGATAAAAATCTTTAGCATATTATAGTTGTGATACAACATGTATAATAATCAATGACTGTATAAAAGAATTTGACAATTCACCAAATACACTGTTTATATTAATTTTTTCATGTTTTCTCAATTATATTATATTGAATATTGAATCTAAAATGGTTGCCACATTGGGCAAGGGAGGTAAATATTGTTAAAAATCACAAACTATTTATAGAAAATTAATCATTACCTTTGGTGCTTCTGTAGCAACATATGTGGTACCTGGTGGAACATTGTAACCCTCGGAATACAGCTTAAAATGATGTATCAGAGATTCCATCGAGTTCTGAAATTATAAATGAAAAATTCTAGTTCCCATCATCAACCAGTGATTTCTTCATCAACCAGTGATTTATTTACAGACAAGTAGTCTTTATTCAAAGTTTACTCTGTCTCATCAAGGAAAATTTGTCAACCATGGTCTTAATTTACCAAATGGTCTTAATTCAAAGGTGGTCTTTAACACAGGTTTGACTTCACATTCACTCAAGTATACGCGACATCCTTTCATTTACATTTATTTTTCAACAATGGTTTGTGCCTTGCTACTGTTATTCAGTCAAATTTTAAACCTGATATGCCCCAAGTATCTTTTGTGTTTGTACAGACAAGCTATTTTCATTGCCTGTACTCGGGGTATATAAGTTATGCTGTATATTTTAAGTTGGAGAAATACAATATTCATCATTTGTTTGTTTGTTTGTTTGTTTTATTTTACGCCTTTTCCCAACAGTATTTCAGTCATATAGGCGGGTAGTTTCCTAACCATAGTTCCTGGAGAGTTACACCAGTACTAGACTACCTTCCTCCGCGCTAAACTACCAAAGCATCTCCTGGGGATCGAACCCACGCCAGAGAGGTAAATGGATTAGAAGTCATCGACTCTAACCCCTCGACCACGGAGGCGGTCATAATCATCATTGATGTGATAAATCATTCTGTCACAACCAACGTCCCAAAGCATACAATACAGTACACATAGGTAAAAGGACTTGCTTTCCTTTCATTGGTTCATAAGTCACTGACACTATGACAACTTTTCGGCATTCATTAGCTGAGAAAAACAAAAGCTGCAACTTTGTGCATTTTCTCTGACATGGGCAGACACCTGTTCAAAAACCTGCCTTTTTTTAAAGCAAAATGGTGACAACAATTCAAATTTTATAACACAATTGCAATTCACACCAAGGAGACATAAATGATTCTTAAGACATAAATTGTAGCCACTTGGCTATGACAGCCCATTTCTAATATAAACTAGTGTACACTTACCTTCATCTCGGCGCGTTTAGGTGGCGAGACTTTGTGATCGTCTGTCTTAATCTCACCGGCTGGCATCTGGTTTATACACTGGTGAATAATACGTAAACTCTGTCTCATCTCCTCCATGCGACACAAGTATCTGTAATGGTAAAACATATTAAATGTAATTTTTTTTTTTTTGATTTGGGTTTTACGCCACACCGACACAGTATAGGTCATTTGGCGACGTTTCAGCTTTACTGGTGGAGGAAGGCCTCAGGTGCCCCTCCGTTCATTTTCTTCAGGCACAAACGGGCACCTGATTAGAACCACGGACGTTCATAAGCTAGCTGGATAGCTTCCTCACATGAAAGAATCGAGTCTCTGTCGGATTCAAACCCACAGCGGTGAGGGGCAAGTAGTTTGAAGTCAACAACCTTAACCACTCGGCCACAGTCGCCCCCCATATGTATAGTATATGTTGAAATAGTGAAGAGCTTTAGCTTTTTCTCTCATTCTTTTTTTCACTTTTTCATCCCAAATGAGCCTTTGATCACTCTCTATTTTTTTAAGCATAGAGGCATCATATTTCTTTATTAAATGGATAACATAGATGCCTTAATTATATATACAATAAACACAATCCATCTAAGCCATGCATCAAATATATTAATAACAGGTCTCCAATTTCTCATTGTTTTCCATTACATTTTTTACCAAAAAAAAATTATTCATAATTTTACTGCAATAATATGTCCAGTTAAACAATATTTCTGTTACACATTTTGTCTGTTTGTTAACTGTGATTTTTCACATGATATAACAGAGGTCTATAAAAGGCCTCTTTCAAATAGAAATTTTCTATCAAATCAAGCAGTATTAATTTCTATCAAATCAAGCAGTATTTCCAAAAATCTGAACTAACACAAGATTTTTTACTTCCCAAATTAGATATTTAAGCGATTATTCTTCCCACAATGAAGAGGTTAAGGTTTCTCCCCAATTGAGACGGGAAAAAACGCACTGGTTAAGTCTTTTAATTTGGAAATGAATTTTCAATTAAATATTGTTAATTAAAACAAAGTGTTTACCTGTCAAAGCAGTCTCCTCGTGTTCCGACCGGGATATCAAACTCCATCTTATCATAACAATCATATGGCTGCTGTTTTCTCAAATCCCACTTAATACCGGAACCTCTCAACATAACACCACTGAAAATATAACATACATTAAAATACAATTTCATACCAGAAGTAGCTATAAAATCAAATTTATTTTGAAGTTGGCTCAATTTCGAACAATTGCAAAATAACTTGACAGATCAAGAATTTCCTACCTGAATCCATAGAGTAGAGCATCCTCTGCTGATATAACCCCTACATCTACAGTTCTACTCTTCCAAATTCTGTTTCCACTTAAAAGATCATCAACTTCATCAATACGCTGTCCAAACTGCTCAATAAACTGATATATATCATCCATGAGACCAAGGGGAATATCCTGAAATATTAAAATAAACATGGGTAATTATACTGCAAAATCATATAGAACAAGAGCTGTCAGTAGGACAGCGTGCTCCAATATTCTCAGTGCTTGTTAGTAAAACGTCATCCTGAAGTGCTTGATAATTAAACCACAACCTTGATAATGTAGAATTTTCTAATTTAAAAAAGGGCAATAATTCTGTCGAAATAATGGGCCTTGGATATTAAACCCCTAATATGCTCTAAAATATGTGTGTAGAGTTTAAACCCATTTCTTTCAGTAGTTTGGAAGACAGCAACTTGCATTCACAAAAACTTAACCAAAGTGTGACTCCTTCTCTCACCATGATGCAATGACTATGAATTGTAAGCATTATATTTTACATTTTCACTGAGCACAATACAGATGTTGGCCAGTTTTGACATGGTACTAACAGAGACAGGTGAATTTTTTTTTACATAAACGGACATAATTCATCCTAAAATTGCTAGCAGCAATAGATTCTATTCAAGCCACCAGAGTATGAGCTGGCACATTGGTGCTGTCAGATCATGGTCTGCACTATTTGCTATTCAGTCATTATATATTTCAAATTTTCCCCTACAAATGAGGAATGGTTATGTCCAGATTGAAAGATGGATAAGCCCATTTAAGATATTAGGTGTGGAAAGAGCTAAAAAAAACCACACATAAACATACCAATGAGACACCTCCTGGACGAACGTACGCTGCGTGCATTCTGGCACCAGATGCTCGTTCATAAAACTCCATCATCTAAAATGACAAATAATTAAATAATAAACCTGGCGTATAAATACAATATTAATAACAATTATAATAATAATAATAATAAACACTTTATTTCATGAAGGTAACATATTAAGAAATACATATTCAATGTATCAATTGATTATAAACAGTTTTACACTTACATTTTCAAAATAAAAAAGATTTTTTTCAGACTGTGAAAATTTTTCTGTACATAAATTATATGTACCACCAACGTTCTTAAAGGCATTTATATGAGTAAAATATGTTCATCATAAGCTCTTTATACATTGGCTTTTGACAGAACAGACATCTCAAAAACTTGCTCCATGACAGGGATTGATCTTAGAGATCTTTAGATTATTTGTTTGACAAGTTAAATACTTGCCATATGTCATGCCATTTGAAATACATGTGATTACATGACATGAGATTGTTGATGTAAGCAAGACTACAATTTTTTAATCCTATAAGCTAGTCATTCTTATGCGAAAAATTTAATCACTTATGTGAAGCACCAAGTAGTGAATTTTTTTAATACAAACTTTGACCTTATTTAAATAAATGATAAAAACCTATGTACATATTTAATTGATTTCCTAAGTATAGACAAGATAACATGTAATGTTTGCAAGGCTCTTTAATGCACAGAAAGAGGTCCTTCCCTTCATTTTTTGGGGAAAAATAACAGACAATATACTGCTTCAAGGTTGCTGAAGTCTTTATCTGAATAAAGAATTTACCTTTTCTCTTTCCTCAAACAGCCAGAAAAAGGGTGTCATTGCACCAACGTCAAGGGCGTGTGTACCGATACCCATACAGTGATTCATTATTCTAGTTAACTCAGCGAACAGCACTGAAAATACAACAAATTTGCTACTGTGTTTACATTTTGCTTTTTTTATGACAAATTATTTTACATTTATTCACACTTTTTTCAGGTACAAGCATCTAATATTTCTCAAAAAACATTATTTAAACATTATAAAATTCATGTTTACCCTATTTGAAAGAAGTAAATATTTTTTTGTTTCTGAGGCATAATGCGCCTTTGATGTGTTCAAAATTATGTAAACAAAACTTCCTAATTACATGATCGATTTCAGAAAAAAATGTTTCACATATTCATCCAACAAGAAATTACAAATGTAAAGTCCTTGCCTTTTACACTTACATACCTCTAATATACTGAGCTCTAATTGGAACTTCTATGTTCAAAAGTTTCTCCACTGCCAGACTGTATGTTTGTTCATTACACATCATAGATACATAGTCCAAACGGTCAAAGTATGGCAATGCCTGTAAAGCATCAAACCATGTTTAAACTATACTTTTAAAAATTTTATTGGGTTCTACATTGCAATATTATAATAACATACATGTGAACTTTTTTGATGATCAAGTGAGAGATTTATCTTCAAAAAGAGAGAGATTTTAGAATTTGCAATAAACAAAGAAGGACGTTCTGCCATCAAAAAAAGGGAGATTTCTTTAATTTGTAAAAATAACCCTTATTTAAAAAAAATCTTTGAAAATATGGCTGCAGAAAATGGGAGTATCCCGCTAAAGGTGGGAGAGTTCACATGTATGCATCAACACAGTACAAGTCATATGACGACTTTCTAGCTTTACTGTGGGAGAAAGACCTCAAGTGCCCTTCTGTAAATTATTTTAAGCAAGAACAGGCACCTGAGTACAGCAACTGATGTTCAATATGCTAGGTATGTACTATGTAGTTTACTCACATGAAACAATCCAAAGTCCCTCTCGGGCTTTGAACAAACAGCGGTTAGAGTTTTGAAGTCAACAACCTTAACTACTACCATGGACAAGTTTTTAAATCATGTTACATGTTTTTCCTCACACGGAACACTTTAACATCAGTGATGAAAATCTATCTCACAATATGCTCATTTTGATTATGTTGACTAAGAACCATTTATTAAGGTGGTCTTACTGCAATGCTTTCCCGCCAAAAGATTTCTAACGTCAACTAATATTGTAATAAATCTGTCATTTCCTGAATGTTATTTTTCCCAATCTTTTGTATTCAATAATTTTTAACTGTTTACAACCGGCATTTAGTAAATAGCGATAAAGGAAGAGTAATTGTAAATGATCTTATGCCCAATATTTTGAAAAAATAGCATTCCAGAAATAACCAATTTGCTACCATATTGGCCAATGTTAGAATTTTTGGCGGGAAAGCATTACAGTAAGACTTCCTTAAACAGAACCTGAAATCAAAACACCACCAATACTGTACATAACTTCAGAAAAAAAGGAGATAATGGTAAATTTGGAGAAAAAAAACATGTGAAATTGGAAATATCAACAATATTTCATATAAATAAGATTCAAAAAAACACAACGGAAAAAAACAAACCCAAACCAACTCATCATCTTAATTTCAACGATAAAATTTAGTTATGGATAATGTCTTTATATACCTGCAAGTATGTTTTATGCTCGATCAACTTTTCTGTAGCTCTGTGCAGGAGTCCAATATGTGGGTCACATCGTACCACATGCTTTAAAAGATACATGCATCTTAATATAATAATGTTTACAATTACTAATATACATGTACTAATAATACATCTGCCAAACCTTAACACATACATGTAGTACAAAAGTTCCTGTTTAAATTGGCAAGACCCAAGTACTTTCCTGAAAGGGGGAAATAACATCAACAGCAAGTCAGTGCCCTAATATACATTTTGGTTTTCGAATATTCGCCAAGTTTCTAAATTCATCTTATTAAAATGACAACCATGTGACGGACAAAGTAAGTCCTATAGGACCACAAATAGGTGTCAGTATTTTAAGTTTGAATCATTATTTTTCTACAAATCACTGCCAATAACAGATGTCATTATAATTTAAAAAAAATTTTTACTGAGCCATTGCTGTCACCAAAGCACCCAATTGAAGTGAATGTCTAAAAATTGCATGCACATAAGAGTGTTCAAGGTGGGTGTACAAGTCAAATAACATTAAATTCTGCCTCCTATTTTTCTTTCCAATTTTATAGTTTAGGTCAAAATGTATAAAATGTATAAAAAACATTTTGCAAGACTCACAGAAAATTCTATAAAAATTCTTCAAAATTTATTGTTAACATTTAATTGATAAAAAGAGGGAGCAGTCTTTGAATGTTCTAGGCAGTTGTAATGAACTGCATTAATCATTTTTCATTACTGTAGCCTCGATATATTGCTCTCCGTTATAGTGGTAATATCAGTATAGCGCTCATAGACTTTGGCTCCCCCCCCAAAAAGTACATCTAGATTTATAGCTCGCTATAACGCTTGTTCAATTTGACAGTCAAGTACTGTACAATAAACATTTGTAACTAGGAGATTTATGAGCGCTAAAGGTGTGAAAAACATGCCCAGGTTAGCGTTTATCCGCTCTTTTGTTGTTTTACCTGTCCATCAGTCAGGCATCAAATTGTTTCCAAAATCTCAAATTCATATCATAACTGTGACATGGGCAACAGGTGGTGAGTATAAATATACTAAATTTCACACACATATCTGTGACATGAAAACCTTGCTGAATTAAATAACACACACAAGCCTAAAATCAATTTAAAATCCTGCACTGTAAATAGAACGGCCGATAATTAGTATCATTTGTGAATATAATATAGGTTTACATCATTGAATTGTTTTAGAAAAAGATAATGTCGATATTCATTGAACAGTAAGCTCTAAGTAAGTCATACAAAGAAAAATTCAACTCAACCCCTTTCAATTGATATATCCCTACTTATTGTATCCATTAATCTGATAATTAGAATTAAACGGGACAGGGATCTTTGTATACCTCTCCATTTAGGGTGAGTACCAGTCTTAACACACCATGAGCAGCTGGATGCTGAGGTCCGAAGTTCAGAACCAAATTTTCTACGACCTTTTCCCCGACCAAGAGATCAGCTGAAAGACAAGTAATAGAGGATATTGAATGGGTGTAAGTTCAATACTGTTCAAACTTTAAAAAAAGTCATGCTGTCTTTTCTTATAAAAATTATACTCGAGGAAAAACAGTGTGCATGTACTTGTGAATAGAAATACATTTGCCCTGAAAGTAAGTATATAAAGGGAGATAATTTAAACATTATTTAAGATGGAGTTATGGTTCTTTTGCAGTGCACTTCTCCCTCTCACTGTTCTTTTTTTATATTTTAAGTTTTACTGGAATCTCTCCAATACTTCAATAGCTATTCACTAGACAAGGAAAATACTGATCATGAGTGGGTGTTGCTATGATGGCACACCATCTTATTATGGTGAAAATTTGTGCCAAGTTATTTAAAAAAAATTGATGAATGAAAAAATTATGGACAAGACACGAAATAAACCCTCCATCAGACAATTTTGACCATAATCCTCCAAGTGTGACCGTGACTTTGGAGTTGGAGGTTGGGTTTTCTTGCATGACATCTTATTATGGTGTCGAACATGAAAGAAGGGGCATACAATTATAAGACAAACTTTATTATGTTGTATTTTCAACTGTTTCTGTATAGAACTAGAAATGTGTCCATAGGACACGGGTGCCGCAACACTCCACTGTTTTGTCAATCTTATGACTCTTGGTCAAATTTTTTTTGGGGCTACATGTGCCACAAATTGAAAAATAAAAATCTTTTACTAAGTTAATGTGTCAAGACTTACAAATACTGAATAAATCCATAAGCAAACCCCAAGGTGCATTAGTACACATGCTGACCAACATTCTTGTAAACTTTCAGGTCGGCAGGTCATACTTTTTGAGCTATGCATGAAGAAGTTGAAAATTGCAAATTTACACTAAGTCAAGGGCAATAACTCTAACAAAACAGAGAAAATTCACATGCTAAACCCCAGGTGCATAACTTCACAGTGATGTTAATAATTTATTATTCCTGTAAAGTTGGTTGATTCTAACTCAAATAACGCAACATAATGGAACGGCATTTATTAAGTCAAGGGCAATAACTCTGACAAATACTAAATACATCCACATGAAAATGCCCAGGTTCACAACTACACATGCTGAGAAACATTCCTGTAAAGTTTCATGACTCTAGGTCAAATACTTTTTGAGCTACTTGCGACACAAAATGAGAACGGACGGATGGATGGACAGCTAGACTAACAAGGGTAAATCTAAATGCCTCCCTATAGTGGGGTCACAAAAAAACCTTACAATTATGACAACACTTAAAATAATGCTGAGTAATAATAATACAACTGTTAACAAACTTACGATTAACCATAGGTACATATTGTTGTTCTTTAAGATATTCATTCTCAGAATCTTCTAGGTAAAGTGAGCCTTGCCTCGCCCTGAGATATTCCGCGTCATAGAAGTAGGTGCTAGCGTTTCTCCTTAAAAAAAAATTAAACAAGAGCTGTTGATCGGACAGTGAGCTTGAATTCTCAGTGCTTGATACTAAAATAAAGAGCCTGGATAATGTAAGAATTAAAACTGAGGAAATTTTCATTTACAAAAATACAAATACACCCTGATGAAGGTTATTGAATAGCTGAAACGTAGGTCTTTAATAAAATTATAGAAACCTGACCCACTTTGTTTCGTGTGTTTTACTTTCCTTATTCTTTTTATTATAAAAATACAAATAATGTACTTGTTATTATTGACAGTTTAGGTTTTGGATATTGAATAAAGAATTTGTTACGCTCACAAATGGAATAATTTCATTTAAAATCAATGCTAGATTTATTCTCTTGGCAGGGCCACAAAACCCTTCTTTGTAGAGGCCGAATAAAGGCTGCTTCCCCAACCAAATTAGACTCTTTTTTTCCCCCAGTTTGGTCCTCAAAATTCCCCAGTCTTTTGAAATTTCTCATAGACTTTAGGACAAAATTAAATGATGGTGTTGAATTAAGGTCTTTTACGGCCTTATTAGTATTTCCCAGTGCTTTTTGCTTTTCTATTATGAAGAACTTGTTAAAAGTTTGTGTAAAAATTGAGACCCCTTTTCCCATAGTATGCCAAAGTCATGCATATTTTCCCCAAGAAAAAGGCTGAGGCCCCTTCCCCAAAAATGGTGTTTTGGCCCTGCTTGGAATAGACCATGAACTGTAATACAAACAGCATAAATCAATATTTCATGCGAATACAACCAAATAGTGATCTCTGGTTATCATCCTCAGGTAATGTATTAAAATCTATTTAGTGAATATCTTTAGTATTTTAAAGATTAATGTTGCATACTAAACTTGAACTAAGAATTTTCTAAGTTCAACAAGGACAATATATCTGACAAAATCATTGAGAAAGTTATGGGCCTTCTAAAGTGACCTCCAATAAATTGAATTACGATCCAAAAGACTTAAATTTAGTTTCAAGTAAATGCATCCAGTAGTTTTTAAGATTGATGTTGCATGCAAAACATTAACCAAAAATTATTTTAAGTTCAACAAGAATTTGTAACAGAGTTACCAACGTCCCCCGCCCCGGGAGTTTTATATGAAGCATAAAATTTTGCTATTTCAAAAGATTGAGGTATGGATCTCAGGACATTCAGTCCAAAATTATGATCAATGCTAGATCTGCAAATGTAACAATAAATTTGTTAAAAAAATAAAATGAAACACGGAATTTAAAAATCTATCATGTTAAGCTTTGACCTCTAAGTGTGAACTTGACCTTGGAGGTAGGGGAGCAGGTGTTGTGCATGACATAACGTCTTATTATTGTGACTATTTGTGCCAAGTTATTTCAAAAATCCCTTGAACTATGAAGAAGTTCTAGATTCAACACAAAATATACCCTATAACAGACTATGTTAATTTTTGACCTCTAAGTGTGACCTTGACCTTGGAGGTAGGGATGCAGGTGTTGCGAATGACACATCCTCTTATTATAGTGACTATTTGTGCGAAGTATTTTCAACAATCCTTTGATCTATGAAAAAATTAAAGACCTGACACAAAATATACCCTGTAACAGACTATGTAAGTATTTGACCTCCAAGTGTGACCTTGACCTTGGAGGTAGGTGACTGGTTTTTGCGCATGACACATCATCTGATTATTGTTAACAATTATGGCAAGTATTTACAAAAGTCCTTCATAGATAAGAAAGTTATGGACTGGACACGACATATACCCTTAAATAGACAATGTTGACCTTGAATGAACAAGTACAACCTTGACCCTGAAGGTACGGGTCTGGTTGTTGCGCATGACACATCGTCTTATTATAACAAACATTTGTGCCAAGTTATCTCAGATTCCTTTGATAAATGACAAAGTTATGGACCGGACACGAAATATACCCTGTAACAGACTATGTTAATATTTGACCTCCAAGTGTGACCTTGACATTGAAGGTAGGCAACTGGTTTTTGCGCATGACACATCGTCTGATTATTATGAACAATTATGGCAAGTATTTACAAAAACCCTTCATAGATAAGAAAGTTATGGACCGGACACGAAATATACCCTGTAACAGACTATGTTAATATTTGACCTCCAAGTGTGACCTTGACCTTGAAGGTAGGTGACTGCTTTTTCCGCATGACACATCGTCTGATAATTGTGAACAATTATGGCAAGTATTTACAAAATCCCTTCATAGATAAGAAAGTTATGGACCAGACACGAAATATACCCTGTAACAGACTATGTTAATATTTGACCTCCAAGTGTGACCTTGACCTTGAAGGTAGGTGACTGGTTTTTGCGCATGACACATCGTCTGATTATTGTGAACAATTATGGCAAGTATTTACAAAATCCCTTCATAGATAAGAAAGTTATGGACCGGACACGACATATACCCTCAAATAGACAATTTTGACCTTGAATGAGCAAGTGTGACCTTGACCCTGGAGGTAGGGGTCTGGTTGTTGCGCATGACACATCGTCTTATTATAATAAACATTTGTGCCAAGTTATTTCAAATTCCTTTCATAAATGACAAAGTTATGGACCGGACATGAAAGCGTGACTGACGGACAGACGGACGGACGGACAAACGGACGGAGCCTATTTCTATATCCCCCTTTTTTCTTCGAAAAGGCGGGGGACAATAATGGCTATAATTATGTCAAAATCTTTGCTAGAATTTTGAGCCTTGGACAGTAACCTGTTATAATACGTAAAGTTACAAGTAAACATCATTAGTGGCTAATGAGATATGATGTTTCATACAAAACGTTAACCAAAATGTTACCTGACAGTTGGCCAACCCTGATGCCAATGGCAACACAGGGTGAGTAGAATAGCCCAACTATTCTTCGAATAGACATAGCCTGGAACCCCGTTGTATCGATCTATTAACCCATAAATCACAACTGCAGTTAAAAACATTAAATTTCCCTGAATCTTTATTTTGTATCATTTATTTTGATTTTTTTGTCATAAATAATACATGGCAAACATCACTGATATATAGTTTTTAGCTTTGGAATATACGATCATTTACAGATATGTCAAACAGGTTGAAGAATTAGGTCACGCCATTATATCGATGCATTGTGAGAATCGCTCATTCGGTCAAAGTTTTGGAAGTCTGACACATCTTTATGCTGCATTTTTCAGTCAATTAGAATCAAAGATGTCTGTTTTAAAATGTCAGCATAAATTTAGGAATTTCAACAGACAGTAAATGTGTTTTTAATAAGAACACACTATTTATAAGTCCATTTATTATCTACAAAGTCTGACGGTACTGGAAACCTGTTTTTGACCATTTTTACGGCACAAAACAAATGCGAAAGATTTTCGTGACACTTTTGTAAATGTTAGCAATCAGTAGCTACTGCATTTTGCAAAAAAATCGAAAGATTTGTAAATAGATCGATACAATGAATAGCACGATACAATGGGCATGATGGGGTTCCACTATATTCTTTGAAAAGTCAGAATAAAAACAGCAGCTGGAAACAAACAAAGGCTCACCAAAGCAGGACCCAGTATAAGAACCATGACCTTTGACTTGATGCATTTTGTTTTTTAATTGCTTTTTCAACCAATATTTACATATAAAAATATAAATAATTTGCTTTGAAAATAACGGTCTCACTAAAAAGCGTCCCGAAGAAATTTAGCGTCCTGAAGCGTCCCGAAGCATTATTGTTAATTTAAACAGTCAGAAGGGTTATATTTATTGTAAATAATGTATATTATTATGTATTGAGGTATTTATGGTAGAAAAAAATAATCTTACTTATCATTTTTTCTATTTATATAAAAAAAAAAACTAATATACCTTCGACTCCAGTTCACTTGCTCAAAAACCACCGTATACCGACAAAGCGTCCGGAAGGTTTAATGTTTATCGAAACCAAAATTATTTTGAAATACTTCGTAATTTTAGTTAATGAAATAGTTATGTAAGTAAAAATAATAAGAAAAATGTTTTCCATACATAAAATTATCTTTATAGCGCCCGAAATCGTACGTCTATCCACGCATAGTTCAAGTTGCTAACTGACTAACATGCATAGCGTCCCGAAACGTATTCATGTTTTTTATTTTTATCTAAGCAAAGATAAATCGTAATTAAGTTCTTTTATGATATGTGTAAGTGACATTAAAAAGGAAATAAACATTTCATCCACAAAATATTATTTTACAGCGCGAAAACTGACGTTTCCCATGTTGCGCTAACAAAGCGTCCCGAAGAATTTAGCGTCCCGAAATGTCATGAAGCGTCCCGAAGCATTATTGTTAATTTAAACAGTCAGAATGGTTATATTTATTGTAAATAATGTATATTATTATGTATTGAGGTATTTATGGTAGAAAAAAATAATCTTACTTATCATTTTTTTCTATTTATATAAAAAACAAACATACCTTCGACTCCAGTTCACTTGCTCAAAAACCACCGTATACCGACAAAGCGTCCGGAAGATTTAATGTTTATCGAAACCAAAATTATTTTGAAATACTTCGTAATTTTAGTTAATGAAATAGTTATGTATATAAAAATAATAAGAAAAATGTTTTCCATACATAAAATTATCTTAATAGCGCCCGAAATCGTACGTCTATCCACGCATAGTTCAAGTTGCTAACTGACTAACATGCATAGCGTCCCGAAACGTATTCATGGTTTTTATTTTTATCTAAGCAAAGATAAATCGTAATTAAGTTCTTTTATGATATGTGTAAGTGACATTAAAAAGGAAATAAACATTTCATCCACAAAATATTATTTTACAGCGCGAAAACTGACTAATGTTTGTATTTATAAATATTTTATGGAATGCACGGGCTGGCAGTGTCATTTTTCCGGTTTGTATGTACTGGAGGTAATTATATATTTAGGTGCACGAGCACTGTTCTTATAATCTATAATTATTGATTTGTGATTCATTGTCTCGTTCCTTATGTTGATTAGTGTGTTC